ATAAGCGAAAGAAGTGATCTCGTTGAAATTTCCGCCCCTGTGACAGGGATTAGTACTTGGTGTTGTTGTCGGTTGGTTATGTGTGCATCACCTTTGTCATCTTTATGTTTACTTGTCTTGACTACCAGCCTCTCTCACCAACCTGTAAATCTTTGAGTTTGTTCGACACTAGAGATAAAACGTCTGGCCCAATGTGCTCCTGTCTTCTCACTCCTTGTGCACAATCTGACGCATTATCCAGTCTACCACAATTAGGAATATGATCGGTGATAGTAGTTAGGCAGCTTTGTCTTGCTCCTGTACTCATTTCAACTGTTTCGCTGAGTTTTGCGTTGTGACATGTGGCATTATCATCTAGAGCTGTTGAATGAGGTTGATGAAGATTTACGGCACTTCGTAGTGTTGGAGCAATTTTCAAATTACTCTACAGTCAACGCTGTCGATGGCGGTATTATTATTTATTATTACTTTTGTTTCCTTTAGTTCCTAGAGGAACATAGGGCCTCAGCCAAACGTCTCCACTGCGTTCGCTTCTCTGCTAGAGTTTTGACTTGGTTCCGCGTCTGCCCACATGCTTTCATCTCTTCTTCACATGACCTCTTCCATGTCACCCTCTCACTGACCACCAACTCATCGCTTCCCATTCGGGTTCCACTCAACCGATGGCCATCTGTCACAGCAAGTCATAAATGAGAACGATGCAAACTGCTGCAGTGCAGTACACACGTCCTTTGGTCGACAGGCAGCCAGATATCACGTCTTTTTTTCAGCCAGATATGGCGTAAGTTAACTAATAAGTGCCAAACGACCCTCCTGTATATGTGCTGCGATTTCCTCAGCGGTCGATCCGCTGGTCAACACTCTCTACCGACTACTTCACTGCTGCCTATCGTTAAGCTAGCAATGAGTCGATGTAGTGCAGTTTCATGAGATGAAATCTATCCATTGAAATTAGTCGATATCCCCACACCAAAGAAACCATATTCCAAAGAACATGCTTCCTTGTGGGACGTGTTTGGGTGTGTGTGTTGTGTTAATATTTTGAAAACGACTAGGATTGGTCGGAGGATTTCATCATGAGTTGACAACGGTTAGAGAACCATTGGAAAATCTAGGAGTAATGAACACATGTTTCGTCCTTGTTTGGAACTCTTTGGCAGTACGCACCCACCACCGCGCCAGGTTTCGAACCCAGGAACTTCTTGTTACAAGACGAGTGAGCTCGTAGACCATTAACTCCCACTGGGACCTGATCCAATGACCAACCTATGAATTCCAACATCTGCCAATTTCATGACATAGCGTGACCGATTCGCATTGTCTTCTTCGATGAGTTACTGCCTCACCTTCAACCTACTTTACCCCACTGATCACGGCTTCTCACTAGAACCCCAGGTAACTGCCTGAATATGGGCAATCGCTAGTGGGCATCAGGTTAATTTTCAAGTATTGGACGACACAGCTCTCGGGTGCTCCTGGTTGGTTTTCCAATTGTTCTCTAACTAATGTCAGCTCATCATGATGAAATCCTCCAACCAATCAAACAAAAAATCCCTACAAAACCAGCACTTGAAAATGACTAGGATTATTATTCAATTGTGATAATTATGTGTCTTAAGTGATTACAAGCCATAAATTGACTAGATATACACGCATATGTCTGTATGCATGCATGAACGAGGGCCAGCTAGAAAGAAAAGTACATGATAAACATGAATAGCGCGTTCAATTTTCACTGGAACGATAAAGTACAACACGCTTTATTTAGTCTTAAGAAATGTAACAAATATGAATATAAATGAGGTCAAATTTAATAACAGGGAGAGAAAGAGAGGCGAATATAGGAAGTGTGTGTATGCGTGTGTGTGAACTATCTTCAGTGAAAATAAAATTAAACATATTACAACGTGATGCTTACTAAAAAAAAGTGGCATAAAAATGAAGCAACATGGAATTACAGGAATATACTGGTGACATCCACCAAGTCTTGTAAGAGGACACTTATTCATCGATGATATTGGCTGACAATTCGAATTCATGGACTCTTATATCGGATCCCATTGTCTGAATAGTCTACAAGCTCTCCTTGCAACCGGGATAGTCCTACATTCGAATTCTGCCAGGTACATACTGATGAAGAGTCCCAAAATTGGACGAAACGGCTATCCAATACTCCTTGGTTTTCCGAGTTTGACCACGGATTGATATCAGTTGGAGAACCATTGAAAACTAGCACTGTGGAGTACTGGGATTATACTCTACCAACACAGTGCACAAGTTCTAGTCTTATTTTCCATTCAAATCAGAGAAGAGAACTACACCTAAATCATCCATCAGAGCTACAAATCATCTCCATCATCTTCTAGAAGTCTTCTACTACTAACTGCTGCTCCAGTTAATATTGAATTTTTTAATTTTATTTATTATTATTATTGTTTCCTTCAGTTCCTAGAGGAACATAGTGCTTCAGCCGCACGGCTCCATTGCGTTCAGTTCTCCGCCAATGTTTCCACCTGGCTCCACGTCTGCCCACATGCTTTCATCTCCTCTTCATATAACCTCCTCCGTCACCCTTGAACGACCAACTTGGCGTTTCCCATTCGAGTTCCACTCGAGCGATGACCTGCCTAGTGATGTCACTCAGTTGATGGTTTGTTTTCTCAGAGTATGGTCAATCCACCTCCATTTCTTCCTGCATATTTGTTGCACAATCGGCTCCTTCTGGGTTGGTTCGTTCATTGCCAGATATCCGTCACTATTGCTCATCTTTTCTGGTAGGCCATCTGATCTTGAGTAGTATCGAGCGAAGGCAGCTGTTGATGAAGGTGTGTAGTCTGTTTGAAGTGGCCTTCGTGACAATGCGCCAAGTCTCTGATCTGTACAGAAAGTAGCACTGACTTCACATTAGAGTTGAAAATCTGGATCTTAATTTCATTTTCATGCTGAATAGGGCTTGACTTGCTTTACCGACCCTCACTGCTTTGATATCCTCATCAGTTCTATCCGCCTGTAGTTGAAACGATGCTTCCTAGGTAGGTAGGTAGATGGTTAGGTAAAGGAGGTTGCTTCTTTTAGATTCATCCCAGTTATGCTAATTGTCGTCTGTTGTTGTTGCTGCTGTTGATCAGGAATCTTCGTCAGCTACCTCTGTCTTCTCTATGTTCACCTGAAGTTTTATCTTCTCTGGATGCTTCTCCTGCCAATTGTTGCTCTTCACTTGCACATCTTCCAGTTTGTTTTAATTTTAACCGGTCCTTAAATTAAGTTCCTTTATTTTTGGTTTTTCCCCCATTTTTTTTACAGCAATGCTTATACAATTATATTCGTAGTGAAGAATTATCTGGTCAAAATGCTTATAAGTGTGAAAATTGTCGTCAACTTCGTCCAGCTATGCGTAGATCTACTGTGTACCGTGCCCCGCCAATCCTTATCATTCAATTTAATCGGTAAGTTTTTGGTGCTGATTCTTTTTGTTGTTGGCTTTCCTGTTTTGTTTTGTTTTCAATCCATATTTGGTTACGTCATGAGCTCTGAGACCGGCTATTGAGTCATTGATGTGTCCTCACCAGTTGTTGAATTCTACCATCACCCCTCCCCCGGTGGATGGGATGTGGAATAATGGTCAACAGGCTGCTCACGACCACCACCTACTGAGTAAATTGAAACTCCTCACAGGATCAGTGGTATCATAATTAGTCTGTCAGCATGCAGAACTGTGATATTCTATGAGATAATGATGACAATTGTGCTTACTTGAAGTGCTCAGTTTCATAGATAGACGCTAAATCTACATTCTTCATCGCTGTTGTCACGTCATATCATGTTTAGAAGGGTGGTGGTGGTTTTTGATTGTGTGAAGTCAGCATGCCTCCACTACTAAGCTTCACTTTAAACAAATGACGGACTGACTGGGCTTCAAGATGTTAACTTGCACAGAAGACCAACTACTACACCAGAAATATTTGGCTATATCAACATAGGAAAACGTGGCGATGCCAAAAGACCTGGGAGATTCTTTTATAAGGGAATGCATTTCCACCAAATGAGAACAATTTTGAGCCATACCATCACCAGTTATATTGGTTCTTAGCAGTCTACACATCTGCCCTGCATGGCGCTAACTAGCTTAAAACAGCAGTCTAAGACGGTATCATGGATTAATGCCAATTATCCTAAGCACTACCACCGATCGATCCGTCTTCTAAGCGTAATTCCATTATTTAGTTAAAAATCACAACTCAACTTTCTAGTTATCATTGTTGATTTCAGGTCTCTCACCCCTCCTCCTACTGCAACATATCTGACTGGGTGGTATAACACAAGCCCCCACTCACACACACTAGGTATTTGATGCATAGACAAGTTTGACCACGGATTGATATCAATCAGGGTACCGTTGAAAACTGGGGAGTACTGGACAGCTGTTTCATCTTAGGTCGGTACTCACCCACTGAGGTTCAGACCCACTACCTTCCGGTTACAAGGTGACCTCATAGACCATCTAGCGACTAGGTGCCAACTCAGTGGCCAGTTCATGAATTCTAACTTCTACCAATTCAGGATTTAAGCACGACTGGTACTGATCAATGTTATCAACCGCGGGTATTTGTTCTCAATCCCGATCGGATTCACTGGACCCCACTGGTCATGACTTCTCATTAGAACTGCAGCGAATCACTAGCGAGCATCACTGACTGGTCTGACGATCTTTCCTTATAACCAGAAGGCCCTGGGTTTTAACCCTGTCAGTGGGTGAGTACTGATGAAGGGTTCCAAACTAGGACGAAATGGCTAGTTGTCCAGTACTCCCTGGTGGTATCCAGCCAAACTACCAACCTTCCCTCTTCAACATACATGTGGGCTTACTATCATCGTCTAGTAAGGTCAGCGAGGCTCACAAGTGCGTCGTCGACTGCGGGAATCAAGCGCCGAACACCATCGTTGCACCATCATTCTTCAGCGTTATAAACGTATGAAATAAAGTTACAAAGTCGAATAAAATTCTTTAATATTATAACTGTTTTTTTGAAAATTTATTTTCTGTTCTCTTTCTCAAAACTAATTTTATTTTATTTTCCATTACGTGTTTCTATACGTATTTAGAGAATTATATAGAAAATATATTGGGAATTGAATTGTGTAATTATGCGCGCGCGCGCACACCCACCTACCCACTTACCTACCCACGCACCCGTATACACATTAACATATGCGTGTATCACTGTTTGTTCCATCATATGTGATGACAACACATGCTCACTATCCTCCTACTATATATACACACTTACATGTGTGTGTATATATTTCATATCGCTTCACTCTCTCTTTGTGTGTATAAGGAAGGATATTTATGTACCTTCCAATAGAAAGAACCACCTCTTGAATTCACGATGTGAAGTGAAACATCTGTGATGATGATGATGAAGACATGAAATCACAAATTGCTCAAATTTGAGAGAACCCAACAACACCAACCACCAACAATCACGTGAATATTCACCATCTGATGATGATGAAAGCCAACAACTACACCACACATGACGTGTGCTATCTCTCATATGGTGAGGATAATAACTATTGGGTATACAAATTGGTGTGTGTGTGTGTGTGCGTGAATGTCTTTATGTATTTGTAAGTTGCAAAAAATACATTTAAATTTTTATTGATTTAACTTTCCTCACCCCGCCCCACCCCTTCTCACCCTATCTCACCCCAACCCCGTTTCGTTGTTTCTACATTTCTCCCTCCAATGTTGATAAGATGTGGTGTGTACATAGAGTGGTATTTCAACGTTTTCCTGAAGGCAAAGAGAATACAGTTAGTAGTTACCTGTCGAAATTGATTCATCTATCAGCTGATGAGAACAGAATCACATACTACTTATTACCCAATAGTAGTATGCTGTTGAAAATTCCTTCTATGTGTATATATATACATATACGTATAGATTCCCTGTAAGATTATTTCTAGTAGGGTAGTTTCAGGGGAGGTGGGAGAGAAGGAGGCGCTGTTTGTTTCTGTGAGTCACTAAGGTACTTTTCAAGCTAAGGGGGGGGAGTTAGCCTATTAATCAATCTTATAGTTGACAAGCATTATTGTGACATGTCTGTGTGTGTTACTAATCCCCCCCCCGTTCTTTGCTTTTTATTTTGCAGATTTTCACGTCATCAAAAACTTGATATGCGTGTTGACTTTCCATCATCGTTCAATTTACGTCCATTTATGACGCAATCGAAAGGATCGCCTATCTTGTATAAATTATATGCTACAGTAAATCATGAAGGTTATAGTTGTCGTAGTGGACACTACGTCTCTTTTACACAACGTCACGGGCAATGGTTATCGCATAATGATAGCTTTGTAAGTTTTACCACGATATTTCTTAAAATGTTGTTTAGAAGACGGGTTTGTTGTGTGTGTGTGTGTGTGTTGAGATGTGGCTTGTTGGCTTGACCTCTAGATGAACTTTTCAGCCATTGGGTCCTGGGTTCGATTCCTGATCCACCACTCATTGGGTGTCTGACAGCAAATGTGGCTCATAGTCACCAGCGTAGTTATTAAAATAGTCATATTAGCTGCGTTTTTTATTCTGTGTTATTCAATGTCAGTGAAGTAGCTAATTAAAAATTTGTTACCTGCGTGCTAATGAAAGTATGTGTGTGTGGCTGGCTGGTTTCAACATAGAACTTCGCACCGATGTGCACCAGTTCGAGTCGCCACACTTCGTCCATGTAGAACACAGAGTAAGAGAAGAAAGTAAAAAGAATTGCAAACTAGAGACTGACAACAGAGATATAAAGTAAAAAGAATAGTAATATCGAAGAAACACATAGTTTTGTTGGATATTATAAATCACACACAAGGAGTGGATGCATCTGCGCCAGCCATTGAGAACGATGATTTTGAGTCATATCACCAATTGTCTCCAGCCATTGTTACTGGCTTTTACCATCCCGAGGACCCTAACCACGAAGTCTACACCTTCCTACGTGGCTGGATGGCTTAAACTAAATGTTGTGGATTTCATTGACTGATGAAGCCATGTTTCGGTTTGATCACCAGTGGCTCTTTTCCAGCCTGACCCTATGTCAGTGGCCTATTGTCGAGGAAGGTGATGGCTAGGCAGGTATGCGTAACACATGTCCTAACCATCTCAATCTATGTAACTTCACAACCTCGTCGATTGATTTCCCCTTCTCCTTACCTAGCACTCGACCGATGCCTAACCTCAATATTGCTCACCCTATTATACCATTTCACACGGGAGATAGATCGAAGATGATCAAAGACAGCTAGACTTTTCGTGTCCTCTACTCTCAATGGCCATGTCTCAGCCAGCCATGAAGGAGGACGCGGCGGACTGTTGAGCGGTACATACGCCTTTCGGTCGATAGCCAGACGGATATCACGTCTACGCCAGAGACGGTATAAACTGGTGTATGCGAAACTAGCCTTCTGTATCTGTGCTGAGATTTCGTCTGTGATCAACCTAGTGGGGCTAGCTGATGCAACTTCCTAAATAAGTGAAGTGGTCAACATGCTGTACCACTTCACTCTCTATTTCTAAGCTAGGAGTCAATGTAGTCCAGTCAAGTCCTGTAGCATCATTTTACATTTGGTGGGAGTGAATCGCATGCCAAACATTCGCAGATTGTACCTCAAGGTGTTCAGAGGACTCTGTATTTTGTTAGCGTCTTCCCCTAGGAGGGAGGACTATATCATCTACATATTTTAAGCCAACGAGATTATTCTGTGGTTGATAATAAGCCAATCCCTGAGTCGCTGAAGTCAGCAGTTAGGGTTAATTCCGTTAGTACATAAATATGTGTGTGTGGTTGTTACTTCTGGACTACCCATACGCCATGACAGTTAATTCCTTCGTAGGTCATATGTAGCAGAAACAGAATCATTTTGATTGGACGCTAATCCAGTGATTAGTGTGTAGTGTTTCCAGTCCTTTGGTTGTTTGGTGCAAACTGAATTTTATCAGTCAGTCTAGTTTTGCAATATAGTCAGCATTCTAGGTGGCTCGCCATCACGGTACACTGCGAATAGTTGATATTAGATGGTTGGAGGCAGTCAGGCATAGGATGCCGTGAACCTACGTTTCGTGCTAGTAAGCACTCGTCAGCAGGGCGTATCTGCAATCACCTTGAAGGAACTCATGCCCCTCTTCTGAGATTCGAACGCGCGTCACTCTGTCAGAGACGTTTCCACTGAGGAACTATATGGGCTCGCAACTGACCTTCTGTAGGACTGTATTGGATACTTTCATTGGCCACCTAGAGGGCTGGCCACTGACTGATAGAATTCAGTCCCCAAATAAACAAAGGACTAGACACATTACACTAATTGCTGACTAGTGTTCAATCTGAATCTGTGTTCAGTTATTCATTCTCTTGATCGTTTTTGTTTACGCGAAACTAAAGTGAATTTTCAATGTAACGAACATTACAGCAAAAGGGTCCTTGTTCATAGAGTATCGGGTATCCTAACCCCCCATAGTTTACACCTCTCCTTCCTCACCTACTTGGTTGTTCTTATGAAACCAATGGTTAAAGACTTCATCAACTCATCCCATGTTTTCCAACTTAATCCTATGTCAACTGACATTGCTTGACGACAAGGGATTTCAGCGGCTTGGCATGCGTAACCTGTGTTTTCGTCATCTCGGTTGGTGTATCTTCAAAATTCAACTGCACCGTTTTAGATTATCTATCACTAGTATCATAGTAAACAAAGATTTTGATTATTGTAGCTAGCTGTTAAACACATTCGTATATTACATTTTCATTAATAATACTTTTTAGATCTCAACAACCAGTCTGGATCACGTATCCCGTCAGTATCCTTATCTACTTTTCTATGAAATGGTAAGTTATAATTATTTATTTACTTATTTATTAATCTATTTGGACTATTTGTGTTATGACAGGGTACATGTTGCCTACTATCTTTTGCATTTTTTAACTATTGTTTCTGTGTGAGTGAATTGACTGTCGAAATCTATATGACTGATTGTATGTATCAAGGTAGAGTGTTTCTCAAAAATGCTTGACCTGTTAAAAAGTGGTTACATTTCACAGAAGCACACACAACTCTTTCTTTTTTTATTCATTTACGTTCCCAGTAGAATATAGGTCACCTTCAAGCTAGAGGCTAGAAGTTTCTGTAGCAGTGGTGATTATCTTTACAGGATGAGGTCGCTAGCCTTACCTGGCCCAACCTTTTCTCTTTACCAGTCTTGCTACTGGCTTAGCGGGGTAAAGGAGTGCTTCAGTGGCTGGGGATCGAATCCCAGACCACCTGAGTGTTCAGCGAGCACTCTACAACTGTGCCACCGATGCACACACGCAACTCTAGAGCAAAGAAATATGTTGAATGATCAAGAGAGTGAAAAATAAAAGACATTTCAGCGGCGAAAATTTTCTTTATCGACGAAATCATCTTCACAGGCTGGGTGTACAGTCATATTTATATTTACCAAAAATGTTTAACAGTCTATTATTGGGTAATAAGTGGAAGGGGTGACATAATTGATATAATTACTCAGAAGTGGCTTTAGAATTAGAAAATAAAAGTTGTAAATTACGTAATACTCAATGGCACAAAGTAAGAAAAGGTTAGCAAAATTTGATAAGCTTAAAATTGTTGTTGAGTATTGAGATGAAAGGTAGTTGAGTGTCAGTTTAACAAGTGTGAAGAGGGTGTGAAAATGTACAAAAGAAACATGTGAGAGTGATAATAGTGGATTAATTATTAAAGTAAAATCAAACTAATCAATAAAAATATTTTAAAAAATTACAGGGAACATTTGGTAGAAAGATTAAAACCATGGTACTTTTCTGAATACATATTTCGGGGTTGTATTGACTAATTGCCAACAGCTCCGCTATATACGAAAGCCGAAACCTAACGCCCTCTGTACTATTCAGTCTCCCCTTTTAGATAATCTTGAAAGGCGACTATGGTGGAGCTGCATGGCTTGAGTTCACAAGGTGCTCGAGAATTGAGCTAGTAACTGTCTTGCACTGTTCTGTTGCTAACTATCCTGGATAATGTTCAGAGAGATGCGTTTGGAAAGTGTACACTTTGTGCGGCCAACTTGTCTTTGGTACATCGTGGTCTGCAACTATGTGTCGGACTACTGCGTCAGTCACGGTTCTCACGCGTTGATCCGGGATCACAATGGCGTCTACCCATCTTTTAGTGTGTTCCGCCATCCTCAAGATGTACTGATTGCCATTGGAAATGGATCCATCACATCTACAGACTACACAAATCACCTACTACCGTAACTGAAATTGGATGGAGGATTTCATCATGAGCTGATATCAGTTAGAAAACCACTGAAAAACTTGCTTCAAAAACTGTGATTCTCGCTTTATTCAAAACCTGGTAGTACTGGACAGCTGTTTCATCCTAGATTGTGAATCATGGGCAGTACACACCCACTGCCAGGGATTCGAACCCAGGACCTTCTGGTTACAAGCGTGTTCGTGGACCACTAAGCCACTAGGACTGATGACAGCTCATGATGAAAATCCCTGCAACACCAATACTTGAATATGTAACTGAAATTGACTACAGAGACGGTTGTATACATCGATCTCACGGATAAACCTTATCAGTAGCACACGGTACAAAGCGATCCAGTTTTTACTTGTCATTCTCACACTTACTACTTGTGCCTGACCATTCAACCGCTGGATAATGAAATAGTTACACACACGGTGATATATACTACTCAAATATACCTGTAAACAAATCAGTAGTATATATATCCTCGTACATTTATGCTTGCTTTCTTGAATGCCATTTTCTTTTGTTATCCTGTGGTGAATCGCACCGTTAACTTTGCACACCTTTTTCTTCTTTTAGATTCGCAATCCACCAAACAGTACAGCTAATGGAATGACAACAACACCGTCAGCGCCAGGGACAACCACCACAACAATGGCATCATCAAATCAACAGTTATCCTCAAATAATACATTATTATCACACATACAACATACACAGAAACAAAAATCAATAGTTATTAAGACCTTTAATACTCCTACGACTACTACCACGACCACCACCACCACTCTGACAACTCGTCCGCCACTGCCAACCACCACATCATCATCATCATTATTGTCATCTCTTAATATAACAAAACAAGCTAATCTACCCTCTATGACATCGACAATAGCAACAACAACATCAACTACTACTACTATTACATCGGCTAATTTAGCATCACTGTCACGTATTCAAACAACTAATCCACTTTCGAATTCCAATGTCAATCTTCCCTCTACACCGTCATCGGCGTCGTCCTCGTCAAGCATACCGAAAATTGTTTTCAATCCTAAAATTTCATTGAATAAATTTAAGATTATACGTGAGTCCATTCATTTATTTGTGCCTTTGTGTGTGTGTGTGTGTTATTTTGCGTCTTGTTCATCGATTGTTCCCCCCCCCGTCCTCTTGGATCGAATTTGCACATGTGTGGGTCCAGTACGCGGGCTCCACGATTTCCCATTAGACTTCATTCCCTCCCCTCCAAATGATTTTTTTTCTTGAGATACCTGAAAGAGAACGTGAATTAGTGTTGCGTTACCGCAGAGTCCAGGGGACAACTGTTTGATGCTGATTACTGACTTTTAGGTTCGATAACTTATCGCCTGCTAAACACCATTGTAGGGTAAGTCGGGATGTAGAATATTTGGGGGACCGACATTTTCTAACCCTCTCTCTCTCTCTCCAGAGTGGAGGGACAACATAGCTGGCATGTTGGTCATCTGAGTAAGAGGAGAACACCCTACTTTTGTTGCATCCCTGTTCTCCAGCAGTATGACTTAACCCACAGACCTTCAGCATAGTGTGGAAGATATTTATGTATACCCAATGAGTGGTAGTTTCCCTACTGGAACTAGAAATCCTCACCTGTCTCTTTTCATACCGTTTAGAGTTATCCAGTAGACCAAGGTATGACTGTGTGGCTATGACTAATCCTTGTAAATTAGAAGTTTAAAAATAACGAGAATATAAATTATTAGCGGCAGTTACGTTTTCTTAATTCCTTTACGTTCCCAGTGGAACATAGGGCTTCAAGCTGGAGGCTTAACCAGTCTTATTGTTGGCTTACCGAGGTAAAGGAATGTCGTGTCGGCCAGGGATCGAACCCCAGACCACGTGCGTGGTTGGTGGTGAGCATTCTACCGCTGTGCCACCGACGCACAGCGACAGTTACATAGTTTGTTGAAATCATTATTTTTGGCTTTCATGCATTAGTAGTGGTAGCCTAGTGAATAATGCTGGTGGTTTTTTGTAACAATAGGTACTGGGTTCGAGTCTGTGTGCGTCAGTGGTACAGTGGTTAGGACTCTCGCCGACCATGCACATAGTCGGGGGTTCGATCCCTTGCCGACGCACACCTGATATCTATGGTCGACCTGCAATTTCGGGCTACCGATATCACATGCTGAAAATTCCATACCTGTACCAAAAAATACGATGTGTAATCAAGCTGTAATCGAAAAAAAACGTCATTATTGAATATTAATGACGCCTTCCAAGGAGTTTTAAGACCAACATCCTGCATTCCACTTGCTAGTCGTCATCAAATAAGTAACATCAGAATGACATTAAAAGGTTAAATCCACATTTGTTGTAAAGTGCTAATTGCAGTCAACGCTATCAACTCTGCATATACTTATAGCCATTTCTACGTTTTCCCAGTCCTTCTCCTATTTTACTTTGACGTTATTCCTGTTTTTTATTTTGAATTCCATTTTTCGGTTTTTCCAATTTGATTATTGATTGGACCGAAATATTTGGCTTCCGTTGATATATCGGCACCTAGTTGCGGACGCTTCGGCGATATGTCTTCAAGATTAACCTGAAGTAATTTAGTGGATGACGATGTTGATTAGCAATATGGAATCCAGCCAGGATAACGCGTATTTCGTCCTATTTGGGACTCGTCATCAACTGGGTGTACGTGCATTACTCAGTGAGTCAGTGATGGTGTTTCCATTGAGGCTCGAACCAAGTAATACACCTCGTTTCAAACGCCAAAGCGTCATCCATTTTTGGTCCACGAAAGCCACCCGAACCACATGCGTGGTTGGTGAACATTCTGCCACTGTGCCACCGAAGCCGTGTGTGGCATCTATAAACTCTTATATTCATTCAGTTTTATTTTCCTGCTGATACCTATTATCACTTACACATGGTTATTTGAACCTATAATCTGTTAATGTTAAACAGTAATACTTTGATTGGACACTAATCAAATGGTGTCGTGTGTCTAGTCCTTTGTTTAGCGTGCAGACCGAATTCTATCAATCAAGTTTGCACCAAAAAGACGACTAGACACATTGTTGTAACGATAGAAAACGAGAGACTTCGGGTAAAAGAATGTTTGTTTGGTATTTGGTGTCTCTAAATTAGCCAAATTTCGTACACACCTTATCTTCAACACCGCACCATTTACACAAATCTTCCGTGTTGCGCTACTTCTGACCTTCCTTCATATTATGTTTGTTTGTGTTGCTTTCTCTGACATCCAACGTATCTCCCTGCTATTTTATGTTTTTATGCTGGCCAATGAACATCTCTCTATGGATATATACTACTAATAAATCTGATCAGTAGCACACGCCCCAACATGACACCAGTTAACTAGTATCCAATGCAGTACAGCAGGAGGCCAGTTGAGAGCCCAAACAGCTCCTCGGAGGTAGCGTCTCTAACTTCAGACAGCACTGGTTGACGCCGATTCGAGTCTCAGAAGGGGGAATGAATTCCTCGAAGGTAGTTGCAGGTACGCCTTTCTGTGACTGATGAGTGCTAACAAGCACGAAACTTACGTTCAAGCCTCCCTATGACCGACTGCCTTCAATCATCATACTAATCAGTTTCTTCAATTATTTATTTTTGTGCCTTTGTGTATTTCAGCTACACCGGCTGTTTCGTTAACACCGTCAACATCAACAATAACAACAACAACAGCCAATAGTCTTTTCAATTCAACATCCAGTTCATCAAAGTCTAAAAGTTATCAAGATTCAATAAATTGTAATAATAATAACAATATCTACAACAAAAGCAGCTCAAATATTTCAACAATACCATTACCAAGTGCTTTTCCTGCCAATACGACAACTTCTGCTGCTACTACTACTACTACTCCATCCACAGTACCTGTACCTGTATCTTTATCCAGTTCTACGGTTCGACAGGTAATCCATTTCTCCTTTTGTTTAATGTAATGTATGTATAGCATTGCCAAGGAGAAATAAAGCTAGAACGTGTGAGCTTTACTCAGTGGATACCAGTGGATACTCAGTTACATGATGATGCGGATACTAACTGACTGACTAACTGAGTAATAGAGAAGATTTGTAGCTCAGGTGGATGACTGAGCAATTATTTGTGTTCTCTGAGCTGGTTCTCTGACGTCTTCTGGCAGCAACCATCTTCGTGACTGGTAGTCGATTTACATCTGTATTCATCAAATTTTTTTATTGACTTGGATTTTAAACTTTCTCGTCGTGGGCTCCACGTCTGCCCACATTCTTTCATCTCCTCTTCACATGACCTCCTCCTCCATGTCACGCTCGCACTGATTGTCAACTTGCCGCTTCCCGTTCGGGTTCCACTCGAGCGATAACCTGTCGTGTGATGTCACTTGATGGTTTCTTTTCTCAGAGTATGGCGAATCCACCTCCATTTCTTCCTGCATATTTGTTGCACAATTGATTCCTGTTGGGTTGGTTCGTTCATTGCCAGAGATCCGTGTTGCTGATGTTTTCTGGCCGGCCATCTGATGTCGAGTAGTATTGAGCGAAGACAGTTGTTGATGAAAGCCTGTAGTTTGTTTGAAGTGGCCTTCGTGACGCTGCACAGGGCCAAGTCTCTGATCCGTATAGTAAATAGCACTGACTTCACATTGGAGTTGGAAATCCGGATCTTATTTTCATTTTCATGCTGAATGATATTGATCTCCCTTCCACAGAAACTTGAGAAAAATGAAAGCTTGGCTTACTTTCCGATCCTCATTAGTTCCGTCGACCTGTATTTGAGGCGATGCTTCCCAGGCAGGTAGGTAGGTAGGTGATGGAGGTTGCTTCTTTCAGATTTCTCCCATTTCTGCTGGCTGATTGTTGTCTGTTGTTGTTGCTGTTGCTGTTGGCCAGAAATCATCATCTAATTCTGTCTCCTCTATGTTCATCTGAAGTCCTATCTTTGCTGGATGCTTCTACTGCTAACTTGTTGCTTTCCACTCGCATATCTTCAAGTTTGTGGAAAATCAGACATATATCATCGGGATAATCGCCTCAAATTGTAGTCTGGAAAGGGATCATTGATTTAGCCGTTAAGTTGAGTATGCCAACTTACAAATACAGCTCACAGCATATTACTAATTGTAAACGTATTTTCTCTCCTAATATTATAATGACGCTTGAAGTTTCTATTGTTTGTTTGAGCACAAAATACTCGCCACTGATGACATCTGCAAGTGGTCGCGCCATATCATAAATTGGCCAGTGGAACTTAATGATCTACGAGTTCACTCGCCTTGTAATCAGAAGGTCCTGGGTCTGAAACCCTAGTGGTGGGTGCATACTAGTAAGGAGTCAGTTCCAAACTAGGACGAAACAACTGGCTGTTGAGTACTCCCTGTTGGTTTTCCAATGGTCCTCTAACCTTACTGACTGGCTTCAACATAGAACTTTGTACCAATGTGCAGCAGTTCGAGTCGCCACCCTTCACTCAGCACACAAAGCCAGGGAAGAGAGTAAAAAGAAGTGCAAAATGGAGACAGTAAACAGATATATGAGGCAAAAGGAATAGTAATATCGAAGAAAAATGTATTTTTTGGATATTATAAGTCACAAGGAGTGGATGCACTTGCCTGAGCCATTGAGAACGATCACTTTGAGCCATATTACCAATTGTCTTTAGCCGTCATTGGTATCTACCGTCCCGAGGACCCCAACCACGAAGTCGACATCTTCCTACGTGGCTGACTGGCTTTAACTAACTGTCGTGGATTTCATTGACTAATCAAGTCATGTTTTGGTTTGACCACCACTAACTAGCTCTTTTCCAGCTTGACCCTATGTCAGTTAACATTGCCTGTCGAGGAAGGTCCTCTACCGATGTCAGTTCATCATAATGAAATCTTATAGCCAATCAAATCTTTTTATTTTATTTTATTTAAACGCAGAAAAACTCGGTACAATATGGCACCAAGAAAGATGCGCCACACAATTTTCATTTATTGTGTGAGGGCTGAGGTACTGCCCGGGCGCCCAGACCGAAGCAGGTGGTTTTTTTAAGGGACCACCCCCCCAAGCCTTTGACTTGGAGTCTAATCCGCAAGGCAGCGGAGCTGCGTTCTCATGGTTGCCGGTGACCCATATGGATTCATACGCCATTTGATCCGGTTGAATTCTGGGGCCCATGTACCCCATGGTAACTGCTTTTAGTCTAACCGCTATCCAAACAACCTTCCTGACATGGTAGAACCTGCAGGGACATGAGTCCCAGCCAGTTTAGCTTGTTGGGTCCCTGCGGCATTCAAGCCCGACCACCACGACAAGGTAGCAGTTGTCGGCCGGGGCCAATCAAATCAAATCTCTGTAAAACACCAACACTCTCCCCTCTCCGTAAACTTTTATTTTCACTTGCATAGCCGACTTTATTTCTCATATGTCTTTTTCTGTTGTAATAATAATTGTTTCTTTTTAGTTACTTTATGGAAAGGAGAATCAACCGGAGTTATGGAGTGAACGACCGACACCAGTGCAGTCAACTGTCACATCATTTAATGAAAGCAAACATCATAACCACCACCACTACAACCACTCCACCACTGATAGTAGTCAGTCTTCTTTATCAAGTAACAATCCCTATAAGCAAACTGACAATCATCGAAGTGTCAATGAGGCAAGGGTGGCGAAAATAGATTCTGCTCAACGACTGCCTACTGTCCATACCAGTGATTCACGTAATGGTGAACACAAACACCCGCGTCCATTGGTCGATTATGGAGATGAGGTAAGCAACATTTGAAGTAGTTCTTTGAGAGATAACCTAACGATATGCCTGGAAAATAAAGATAATAGGACTCAACTTGTAACCACAGACGACAAGGGTCAGGCAACAGATCGTTCATTCAGAAAATTAAGAGATTTTTATGTACATTTTTATTAGCAGAGAAGCAACGTCTTCTGATTGGTTGCTTTCTTGCTGAAGGTCATTCTGTACTGCTTGCAACCGTTTCTCAGAAAGTTAAGTCATATATCTGCGAATCATATTTGCACACGTTAAGTCTGCTGTGATTGGTTAGTGATTTTCTTAAGGTTAAGCTTTGTTATTGTTTTTTTCTCATGACTCCGATTCGGGACGTAATCACTGACGTAAATTACTGTCACTACAAACTGACTGTTATCTCCATAGGCCGTTACACACCTGTATCAGTTGAAAGTAATCCCTTGTTACTAGCTGAAACATACTTTCTCATCAGACCTCAATTGTTAGAAATGATCTCACCCCCGAAGTTAGCAAATCTGACAATTGTGTCAGTCTTTCTGGTCAGGGAAAGTGGGCTTTGCAAGTATTGCTGGTTGGTTTGTTGCGGGGATTTGGTGGGTTTCAATTTACACTGCATATTGATATCAGTTGACAAAGCAGGCGAGTACTGGACAACTAACTGTTTCGCCTCAGTTTGGGACTTTCTATACTTACAGATAGGATACTTCTGTAAAAAGAAAAGTGGTAAATTACACCGTAATCTGTGGTGGCAATCAAAGAAGGCAAGTGTAATTGCATGAGATACACATATAGTCTTGGTAATAAACGAAACTGACTGACTTGTGTCAACGTAGGGAACTGCTTTGCACAAATGTACAGCAGATCGAGTTGCCACACTCCATACATGTAGCACACAAAGAAAGAGAAGACAGTAAGGAGAGATTCAAAAGAGAGACAGATAATAAACAGAAGCGTGAGTGAGGCAAAAAGAATAGTATTATGGAAGAACAATGGAGTTTTATTGGATATGACAAACCACAAAGAGTGAATGCATCTGCGCCATTCATTGAGACCTAGGATTTTCAGCCAGCGATATATCACCAATTGTCTCCAGCCTTCATTGTTCCTTACCACCCCAGTGACTCCAACCAGGCTGGAAGCCTACACCTCCCTACGTGGCTGGCTGGACGGCTTAAACTAACTGTTGTGGATTTTATTGACTGATGAAGCCATGTTTTGTTTCGACCACTACTAACACTCTTCCAACCTGGTTGTATGTCAGCTAACATTGCTCGTCGAGAAAGGCGATATCTAGACAATCATGCGTAGCATATTTCCTAACCATCTCAATTGACTGATTTTCCCTCCTGCACCGACACCTAACCTCAATATTGCTCGCCCTATTATATTACCACTTAACACAGGAGATAGAACACAGACATCTATTATCAAAGGCAGCTAGTCAGGCTTTTCGTATTATCCACTCTCAATGTCTGTTGAAGATCAGTATGCCAGGTGGCTGTGTTCACAAAGAGGAAGTCATGTGTGTCTCCCATTTTCTAATTCCAAATTACTCTACATAGATAAGAAGCTATGATCGATGGGACTTGCTGCGTTACACCAAAAGACCGACTTTGTATACAACTTTTATCGGTAATCGAGGGTTTGATAATTAAGTAGCTGCATTCTGACTCAACAAATATGGTGAAGGAAATAGAGATGGTTGAGTGACATCATGCACTAGGCCATTATCTCTCTCGTGTGTGGAGCCCGATTAATGAAATACAACGAGTTAGGCGTTAATCTGAGGATGGCATAAAGGAGATCCTGTGTGAAGGAAGAGATGAGAAGATATAAGCAATTATGTGGAACCATCTGAAGAAGACTGTATAGAATAGAACTAAATAGAGATGGGCTTTCGTGAAGCCTTATGTTCTACTCGCAACCTACGGGAAAAAACAATAATACTATTGGCTGGAGGATTTCATCATGAGCAGACATCAGTTAGAGAACCATTGGAAAACCCAGGAGTACTGAACATCCTAGTTTGGGACTCTTCAGCAGTACGCACCCACCAACAGGGTTCGAGTCCAGAACCCTCTGGTTACAAGGCGAGCTAGCTCGTAGACCATTAAGCCACTGGAATCCATTGACCAGCACACGAATTCCAACTTCTACCAATTCATGACATGGCACGACCACTTCGTGATGTCTTATTCGATGAGTTACTAACTCACCTTCAACATTCTGTACCCCACTGGTCACGGCCTCCGACTAGAACCCCAGGTAACTGACTGAATAGAACCCTATGTAGGATTCTTATTGAAGCAGGAATTCACGTGGCATTTAAGCCTACAGAGTCACTCAAAAATATATATAATATCTTGATTCCCCACCGTAATTTTGGTACAAGTATGGAATTTTCAGCATGTGATATCGGTAGCCCAAATTTTGCAGGTCGATCATTGATATCAGGTGTGCGTCGGCAGGGGATGGAAACCCGGACCATCTGCATCGTTGGCAAGAGTCCTAACCGCTGTGCCACTGACCCAACTATACAAAATAATAAGGTCTACAAAATATTTTGCAATGACTGTGAGTTAGGTGGACTGCATAGGTCAAACTGGTAGATCAGGAGTAGTCAGATTGTTAGAACATAAGAATTTAGCTAAGGTAATAGTGGTTGACTCCGAGAAGATAAATAATTTAGAAAAAAGCTCAGCAATTGCAATGCATGCATTAACACACAACCACACAATAGGGTGGTGGGAAAATCAGGAAGGGGAGCTCCCAATGTTAGATTGTAACGTAATGAGGAAAGAAGATGGGAAGGTAAACACTAGTGTTTACAGGAAACCCACACACTCCAACAGATATTTGGACTTCCGATCATCCCATCCTATGTCAGTGAAAATAGGATTGGTGAAATGTTTAAATGACAGAGCACAAAAATTAAGTAGTACCAAAGAAAATCTAAAACAGGAACTAAGACACATAAAAGAAGCCTTAAAACTTAATAATTACCCGGATAAATTAGTCAGGAAATATGTAAAGAAAAGTAAAAATAAAATAAATAATGACAGTAGTGATAGTGATAATAACAATAATAATGATAGTGATAACAATAATAATATTAATGACGACACCAACAATAAAGAATCTAAATCATCAGTAGTAATTCCATACAAGGAAGGAACCTCGGAAGCCTTACGCAGAATTCTTAACAAGGCAGGAATAAAAACGGCATTCAAACCCACAAACTCAATTAGAAACAAGCTCTGTCGGTTAAAGGATCAGTTCTGTGGAGCCTTTAAAACAAAACAATTTAGTTTATCTAATACCCTGCAATGATTGTCAGGTCAAATACGAAGATCAAAGTAGTAGAACAGTGGCAGTCAGACTAGCCGAGCATAAAAACCTAGCAAAATCTAGATTGGTTGACCCGAATAAGATAAGAAATCTAGAGAATAGTTCAGCTATAGCACTACATGCAGTCACACACAACCATACAATAGGATGGGATAGGATGACAGTTTTAAAATCTAATGTCACAGGGTATAGGGAGAGATTGATAACAGAAGCTTTGTTTATCGAATCAACTGCAAACTAACACGTGTAATAGGAATGATTCAACACTTGTCCACGCAGACATCTGGAAAATTGTACTACCCCAACGATGACAAATTGGAGAGAACAAAAAAAACTATAAAACTCAAGTTTCGAAGTCGTTTTATTATAACTGACGACATGATTATTTTGTTCGAAATGTCATCCAGTAAATAATACTGTTTCGCTGTGTGATATACCTAATAAACAAACTAATATGGAATTACTTACTACCACAGTGCCCAAGTTTTACACATATATAAATAATTCTTGTATTTTTGTTTGATGATTTGGTAATATTGATTTCACTCCTATTTGTTTTTCTTCTTCTTCGGTGTTTCAGAAATCTGATAGTGACTCGGAGAGGTCGTCACTGTCTCCACCATCGAAACGAAGACATAAGTCCAGCAGTGACTCTGATTCCGGTATTGTATGGATCCCGTTGAATTCTTATCATGAAAAGCCGAGAAAACACGATAGCATAAAATCGTTGTCCTCGTCCTCTGATCGGCATAGTAAACACAACGGTGGTGGCGGTAGTGGCACTGGAAGCAACAACAGCAGCAATAGCAGTAAACGTCATAAGAAAAAGCATAAAAGTCATTCGTCAAAGCATAGTTCACATTCACGCTATGACTATGATGATGATAATGACGATGATAGTGTTTCAAGACATTATACCGGTGGTGGCGGTGATCACCATCATCGACGTTTTGAACGCAGTCGAAGTCGACATCGTGATAATAAACATCGTCATCATCATGATGATGATGATCATCGTGACAGTATGAAATACAGACGACGTGATTCTTTGGATTCAAGAAATGACCGACGGCATTCTCATCATAAACACCATAAACGATCATATGAAAATGCTGGATATAGGTGAGATAGGCGAACTAACTATATGTCCTTCTCTTCCTTTCTCACATGTTGTCCCGCTGAAATAAACGTTAACAAAAAGAAGCAAAGGCGTAACAGGAACCACAGTGTTTGTATGTGTGTGTGTAAAGTAGAATATGCAATGTTCTCGTCCAGTCCATCATCGCCTCTATTTTCACGCATTCAGCTTTCTTTCACACCCATACTGCTGTTGTCGCCAATGCCACTAATTGTTTTCTTTCTTTCTCCTAATTGTTGTATCTACTACCTTCGTTAGTCACACATCATCGGTGTTTCTTAAGCTCATCTATCAGCCATCCATCCACCCACGTATTCTCTTCATGGGGCATAGGCGGGGGGGGGGCAGTTGCTTGGAAGTGTAGTAGCAGTAGTCAGTGTACAGTTGAGTTCTAGTCCTCTTTTTCCTTTCTTTTCTCTTAAAGACAACTTTTCTTTATTTGTTTTAAATAGTTTTTCTCTTCTTTTTTAAAAATATTATTTTCCACTGAAGAAGTATACTTACTTTGAGGTAGATAGACGCAGGTGTGAGTAGTTTTCGCTGTGTGTGTGTGTGTGTGTTGTGGAGAAATGGGTGCTAAACACGAGTGTTGCATGAGGGGGAGTCAAGCATGCATAGTGTTCAATTGCTGCAGTACATTCTAATTTAGTTTTCTTTTTTTTATATTGTCTTGTTTTCATCACCGTGGAAGAATTGACTTGTTGAAATTAGAAAACGACAGGATTCTTTATTGCCAATCTTCTGTTGTTCTTGTTGCGGGTTGATGTTGCCTCTGTGTAGCACTGCCGGTTGTATTCTTTCACTACTAATACTACTATTGTTATTACAATTTAATTTGTTTTATTTTCAATCATGTCTTCTGTACTTATTATTGTGTGTGGGTGTGCGTCAGGTTGGGATTCTTGCGTGTCATAAGTGTAACATCGACTACTGCTACTTTAGGCGTAGGGTGTGGAATGGTTGAGCAATGTTGACCACTTCAGTCTTTATTGTACCTGGCATACATTCATAGTCGATACCGGATACTTTTAGGTATGCTAAGTGAGCACGTAGGCTTATTTCTCAAGGAATAGACCACACTTCTGGCTGACTGGTTTCAACGTAGAACTTTGCGGCGGTATGTAGCATTTCGAGTTACCACACTCTGTGTAGTACACACAGTACACAAAGCAAGGAGAGACACCGCAATTCTGCGTCAGTGTCGGTCGACAACACGAGAGATTTCCGCCAACGTGACCTGTATATGTCGCAGTAATCTAACACAACTGCATGAGTGAGACGTCGACATTGGTCCTCCAAGTGTAACTGAGGTTGCCCAAGAATCTGTGTTATCTGGAACGGGGCAGTGCAGCAACATTTGATGGTGAAATGACTCCAGAGATATTCAGTGGTGGTGAATTGTTGTCTAGACTAACAGGGATGTGAGGTAGTCCCGCTGAATCGGTTCAAAGCGTTCATTATCCCAATTTATAAGAAGGGGAAATAGTCTTCCTATGATAATCACACAAAGGGATAAACTTGACTAGCATGGCGTCTGCTATTCCACTTTCAGTAGTTGTGCGTGGACTAAGCGGTGCCCTGGAGAAACAAGCACACGTAGTATTGCGTGTTGATCGTATCTTCACCCTTCTACAGATTCTGATGTCCAACAATTCATATATGTTGACCAAGTCGACCATGATGCATGACAAAGATGTCTAGCTGTGAAAGAACATCACACTAATCGGGGCATCTAACGCAGCCGTGTAAGAGCTTATGGATGGTTTTTGTCTTAAATGTTGAATATTGGTGGCGTCCGTTATGTACTAACCGGTTTCTTTTGGCTGAGGAATCTCGCTGAGTAGTCCCTTTGTGGTGAGTGCTACTTATAATCCAATATAAGTAGTATATCAGAAACGAAGTAACTATATGTTTGGCACACTGGAAAGAGCAATCAAAGAAGAGAACCATGAGAAGAATGTTGCCATATGATGCAGAATCCAAGAAGCTATCGAATGCGACGATATTCGACCAATTCGTCAAGGATGTGGTAAATGATGTGCAAATGGCCGGTTGGGAATATGGTATACCAAATTTAGCTATGTACCATACGTTTCACCAAATAAACATTCCTTTCAGCCTCCTCAGTCTTGTCTTCTTTACACCTTTAGTCAGTCTAGACAGGCATTGTTGTAGCATACATCTACTGATGTAGGTATTCTATAAGTAGGTCTTCAAATGATTCACCTGTATATCATTATGTCTCAGATGTGACCGAATACCGTCTACACATGCAAACGGTGTACTCTCCATTACAAGGTGGCAACTCTTTTTACCAGGACAGTGGATTTTTGGCTGAAGAATTATCCTTAGAAATGTGATCTTACTCAGTATTAACTGTTTCAAATAAGTTATTTCCATCAGAGGTATGTATTTTGATGGTATCAAATGCACCTTGCGAAATCAGCCGCCGTCATCCTTTGAGTGAGCTTTTTTTCTACTGGCCGACACATTAATACCAGAGACGCTTGAGCTATATTTTCTAGTTAAGCAGTATAGGTAAGGGAACTCAGCTTCTAGTGACTTAGGTGAGCGAAATTTACCTTCTTTGACAAGAGATTCCATTAAACCAACTGTCAGTGTTTAGCGTAAAAATTGCATGTCTTCTACAAAGCGAGTTATAGTTAATTCAACCTAGAACCTGCATCCCAAATGGTATTTGCTGAATGTGTATTAGTTTTGAGAATGGTAGTTTTAGTCCAAAAGAAAGGCTTGAAACTATCATCGGTTGAAGCGTCTCTGACCTGGAAAGACTGTTGGACAACCAATGAGATAAACGTGCGGACATGAGTTGAAATGCTTCCTTACCTTGGAGGGAGGTGGAGAAAGGTTGTTTAAGATGCTTTTACAGATATCCTGTTTACTTTATTAATGTTCAATATAGCCAGTTTTGCCTGATCTATTCGCGTAATGCTTTGTTAAAGCGACCTGTTTTGCGGATTTTCTCTGTCATCAAGCAGCCCAAGCTAACGGAAGTCCGAATGACATTGATTTGCCGTTCAGACGAGCCTGCTGTGAAGGTACATTATCTAAAGTAAAATTTTGTAGGTATCGAAGTTGCTGTTAAAAAATAGTTACACTGGATTACATTCTAGTACACGCTGCGAAAATATCTAATTCCTTACTGAAGTCTGCAGTCCAAGTGCGTATAAATCCATTAGAATCATACTGTTTTGCGATCCTTTCACTTCCCTACAGCATCCACCGGCTTAAAAAAGAATGGCATGAGTTCTTCCCACGGCTTAGAGGGCAACTCTAAACTGTAGCTACCCAAAATGAAACTACCTCATAAAAGGACGTAATGACCTCGACCAACCCATCAGATGAGTTCGTAGTAAATAGGCGGAAATACAGAGGCAGTACACATATTAATTCGCAAAGCTCCCCCGAGGTGTATTATCTGAGTGCTGTGGGGATAATAGGTTCATGAAACTTTTAAATGTGGGAGAGCAATGTCTTTACAGAAATATACATCCGCTGTTGATATGTGTACAGAAGTCCAGCCTGCAATCATGAAAGACCGGTCCGAGAATATATGCTGTTCCTATTTTAGGTTTGTGCCTGCTGTGGAGCATCGAATGTGTCAAGAAACACTGCTATCTGGATGAATTTATGTACAGAAGTAGGTTTGCACTATCGCTGTAGACTGCGGTAAGGAGTTAGGAGGATTTCTCGAGATAATCACGAAAAAGTAACCTATTTGTTTTCATTTTAACACTGAATTCCACAAGAAGGTTCTCTGAATCAAGCGCGTTTACTACTAGTTCACCCAATTGCCCCATCAAGATCATTATATTCGTTTAATTTGGCCCTTTGTTATGGGACCCTATCTTTTAGAGTTACCACTGAGAGCAACCGACACCACCTTAGATACAAGGATAAATTTGGCTGGACCGCAGTTTCAGATGGCTGAGGATATAAGCTGTTACAAAATTGATTTGCCATGTTTTCGCTTCAATAGGCTTTAACAGGTAGAACGATGACAGTAAGCTACGATTGGATTATCTAAGGTGGTTGGTTCTATGTGGTTTTGTATTACGGGCTTATAGGAATGCTATAGTCATACAAGGGGTTACCTTTGGTTATTTTAAAGGTGCTATATCGACGCAGTTGAAATATTTGTTTCAACGTTTGCGTACCAAGCTACGGCTCTTATCCTCACGCGTTTCTGAGTTGTCTGTTAGGTTGAACCGTACTTCATGATTGGCTGACACCATTTGTCTACATGAACAAACATATGGATTGAACTAAATCTCTAAAACTGTGGTGCAGTGCACTTGCCAGTGTTTTAAGTTTTCGTAACAATGGATACTTATACAGACTGGCTCAAATGCCGTATTGTGCCCTTTCCATGAGTCGTCACCACGAACATTCTTTAAGTCTGTAATGTAGTCATTCCAGATATATAGGTTCTAATATCTTTTCCCTGAATAACTTGCGCTTTTTATTTAATTTAAACATAATGCTAATCAGGGCTTGTTACTAATTAATTGTGTATTTATGATTTGCATCCTGTTGTCAGTACTTACGAGTTGGTTGGAGTACTGATTTGTTGGGTAATTAGGCGAATAACATTTGGTAATATCTGGTATAGTATAGCCAACTAACAGCACTACCAGTACTTTAAATATGATAACCTCATAATTTTTACAGAGGCTAGGCTAATAATCTCATCAGGAAACTGACTAAATTGCGTAAGTAGGCTGAGGGCTTTGAGAATCTGAGCATTATAGAATGTGATGATCACTTTGTACAGCTTTCAAAATGCCTAGGCGTCGTATTTTTTGAAATCGTGCGTCAATTGGTCTATTAATTTACAGTTCACATGTGGGGCGAGACATACATTTTGAACATCTTTAAAAAAGACATTGCGTGTGGTGACAATTAGGATATCAGTCTGTAGCCACTCTTGTCAAAGGACTGGTTACACGTTTCAGAATTTCCAAACGGTACTGCCAGCTCTTATGAGACGTGCAGGCTGGGATTTTATCAGACCGTAAAAGCTCTGATCGCATGCTCATATTTCCCTCTGACTGTGAAGTATATTCACAAATGCCATAGGCCAGGTGTCTTGGAATTGCCTGGAAAGAACAGCTCTCTATGATTTCACTCTTAAACAGAGGGGTACTTGAGACGCTTATTATTTTTTTATTTTATTTTATTTTTATTTTTGATTACAGCTTGATGCCACACCGTATTTTCAGTACAAGTATGGCATTTTCAGCATGGATATCGGTAGCCCAAATTTCGCAGGCCGACCATAGATATCGGGTGTGCGTCGGCAGGGTATCGAACCCCGGACCATGTGCATGGTCGGCGAGAGTCCTAACCACTGTGCCACCGACGCACAGTATTAATGTCATTTCTAGAGTCACTTTAATTAGGAAGGAGGCAAGAAAGCCAATTATCGCAATTTATCCGTACGTTTTTTTATCCTTCACGTTCCCCAGTGGAACATAGGGCTTAAAGCTGGTGGCTTGAAGTTTCTGTAGCAGTGGTTATTTTACGGGATGGGGTTGCTAGCCTCATGCCCAACCTTTCCTCTTCACCAGCATTATTTCTGGCTTAGAGAGGTAAAGGAGTGCATCGGCCGGGGATCGAACCCCGTACCATGTGCATGGTTGGCAAGCGTCCTAACCGCTATACCACCGACGCACACATCCGTACGTTAAATTACTTTATATGGTCCGTCATATGGGGGTTCTAGAGGGTAACGCACATAGTCACGACGAATAGATACGTGTGGAGAAGGTTTTAAACAGGGGTGAACGAAGACATCAATGAACTGTGGTTGGAGGGGAGCAGGTTTAACGGAACGCATTGCGTTCGTAAGCCCGCTGGCGTATGAGGAGTGATCTACCGCTGGTGGGAAGCCCGAGGGAGAAACAAAGTCACCTGGCAGTCGTAGTGTCGAGCCATATACTAGCTCAGTGGTAGTACAACTAGCATTGGTTTTTAAGGCGTTTCGTATTCCTAGGAGAACTAACGGAAGTGATTCAGTCCAATGGGTGTTGTTTGCAGCTGATAAACCAGCTTCCAACTGTCTGCGTGAACGTTCTACCCCACCATTAGCATAAGGATGGTAGGCTGTTGTTCGAAAACGCATGCAACCTATGATTTTAGTCAGGGCGAAGAATAAGCACCTTTCGAATTGCCGCCCGCGATCAGTTGTTATGGAAAATGGGCATCCAAAGTTTGCGATCTATCTTTCCACAAAGATGCGTGCGACGGTTTCAGCAAATACATCCTTGAGGGGTACTGCTTCAGGCCATCATGTGAAACGATCGATGCAGGTTAACATATAGGTATATCCATGAGATTCTGGAGTATATGGACGTGTTAGAAACGGGCATCAGGGATAAGAAGGGTACCAAGGAGGCTTTTGTTGTGTCTCACTACCTTACACTTTTGACAAGCTAAGCAAGTATGTTCCCATTCCCTTACTTCCTTATTAATGCCAGGCAAACAAAACCGACTAGTTACGAGCTCAACGGTATTTCGAATACATGGGTGGGATAAGCCATGCAACGTATTGAAGACGTTACGCGATAACTTTTAGGCACGAAGGGGGCGAGGAGTACTAGTGGAAATGTCACAGAGAATAGTATCCTTTCCTATACCTAAGGGTTTCTCGGCTAATTGTAGGGTTGTTTTCGACAACTCATGCTGAAGCTCGGTATCTTCTTTTTGAAGACGAGCCAGTTTTACAAGGTCTGTGCCGCCGATTTGGGTGAAGGAATAAATACGTGACAAGGCATCTGCCACAGTGTTGTTCACTCCGGAAACATGGCGAATATCCGATGTAAACTGTGAATACTTATCTGAGGTTGAGTTCGGAGAGTACGTCAGAGGTTTGTGGTCAGTGAAAATTATGTATTCACGACCCTCCACTGAATGCCGAAAATGGCGTATAGCACGGTACATAGCCAAAAGTTCTCTGTCAAATATGCTGTACTTCGTTTCTGCTAAGTGAAGGTGCCTCGAGAAAAAGGCGAGTGGTTCCCACTCTTTGTTAACTAGTTGTTGCAGAACTGCGCCGATTGCAGTGTCTGATGCATCAACTGAGACATTTAACGGTGCCGTTGGATCCTGATATATTGGAAGTGTGGTATCCGCAATAGCTATGATGATGCCTGTAAACTGGCGTCCCTCATGTACTGTACTATGAGAACCTGAGTGAAAGCATTTCGAGCAGACGCGTCAAGTTCGATGGGTTTGATGTTACCTCGAAGAAGGTCTGACAATGGCTGAATCAGAGAGGCACAGTTGGGAATAAACCGTCGATAATAACTTACCAAGCCGTTAAAAGTGCAAAGACTTTTCACTGTCTGTGGCTCAGGAAAGTTCAGTATCGCCTCGACTTTAGTAGCCAGTGGGCGAATGCCCTTGCAGTCAGTAGTGTAGCCCAGGAAGTCGAGTGAGTCAACGTTTATTTGACACTTTTGAATATAGATGGTAACACCATTTAGGCGTAACCTTTCAAATGCCAAGTCCAAGTGTCTAAGGTGAGTTTCCTTATCTGGACTGGCAATGAGGCAGTCGTCTAAGTATGCGCATACAAAGTCGAGACCGCGAAATACTTTATCGATGAAGTGTTGGAATGTTTGTGCTACATTCCGGAGAACGAATGGCGTACGTAGAAATTCGAAAAGTCCGAAAGGCGTGATGATAGCAGTTTTCGGAATATCTTGTGGTGCCATCGGGATTTGGTCATACGCTCTAACCAAGTCGATTTTAGAGAATATGGTTGCGCCAGATAATGTTGCTGTCAAGTCGTGTATGTGGGGCAATGGGTAGCAATCAGGGGTTGTTTTGGCATTCACTCACCGGTAATCACCAGTGGGTCGCCAATCGTTGCTATCCTTTTTAGGTGCCATATGCAGTGGCGATTCCCATGGACTATTCGATGGCCGAATGATGCCAAGGGTGAGCATATGGTCGAATTCATTTCTAGCAATTCTCAGTTTGTCAGGAGCCAGTCATCGTGCTTAAAATGTCACGGGCTGTCCTGAGGTTATGATGGGGTTCATAACATTGCTGGTTATGCGTGGTAGATCGTTAGATGGGCAATTAAGTTCCGGATATTTGTCAACAATCGGTTGAAAAGTTGGATCAAGGATTGCTTTCATCTTAACGAGTGACAAGCTGAGGCCTATGTAGGTGATGCCTTTAATAGACAGACTAGTAGTATTGTCAATGAGTCGTTTTCGGCAGACGTCTACGAGTAAATCATGATGATTAAGTAAGTCCGCGCCAGTGATGGGCATTGTGATATCAACGAGAAGGAAAATCCACTGAATAGGTTTGCGCAAACCTATGTTCGGATAGACGTATTTCCTACCAAAAGTTGCAATTGGTTTTCCATTTGCAGCCTGTAAGTTGAAGGTAGGTTCCTTCTATCGACCTGCTGCTGTAGCAGGAAGGACGCTGACTTCGGCGCCTGTGTCGACCAAATATCTAGTCTGGCTGATCACATCATGGATGTAAAGTAGGCGGCTAGTGCCACCGGCGACGGTTGCCGCTAACGCGTGCCTGCGGGATAGTTTCCCACAGACTTTGAGGCATTGCCGAAGTTACAAGGTTTACGGCAACATTCCTCTTCCTGGCCGTAGGTCTTGTGATACCAGCACCAGTCAGGGTTTTTCAATGAACGTGGGCTGGATTAAGACCGATCACGTGCGTTTTACCGTTAAGGGAATTTAGGACGACAGTAGGAGGAATTATTAGGCATGTTTGACCTAAGCATTTGCTGGATGGAGTTGTATAACTCTATCACTGCAGTATCCTTTCTGGAAGTCTGTTTGGCCACCAAGCATATTTCAGGAACTGACCGTTTAGTTATTTCTAGAATTTTATCAGCAGAAACAGCTAAGTCGTCTATGATAACACCCTGAAGTGTCACAAGTACAGTCTGTACTGACTGTGGCAGTTTGGATAAGAAGGGTTCTCTGAGAGGTCCTTCATCAAACTTGTTAGCATGCTTCACGGCTGACTGATCCCCTAACTCGATGTTACGAAATAAATCATCCAGACGCTGTCGATTCGTTAGAACGTTTCTCCTGATGAGAGATGCTTCAAGCAACTCATACGAGTTACTTACTTCTGAACTCGACATCTGCACAGTTACGCATTTGCTGAATTGCCGCGGTAAGGCATGAATAGCCGCGGTTATCCCATGCGCACAAAAATCAAACTCAGCTATCTGAAACCACGTTTCAGCATTATCTGGCCAATATGGTACGAGCTGAATAGTTTTGGCAGTTGAGCGAATACGAATGACCTTAGGACTAGGATCACTCATGGTGGAATATATGCCGATTCTAATATAGTGCAAGAAGAAACACAAAAAGGAACGAACTCACCAGGTTAATCTGCGTATTTCTCGAAGTTGAAGTTCGTGGTTGGGCTCACCAGTTTAGAGGCTGACGGTATTGACGTTCGCTAATTGTACGGAGTATACTAACGCAAGATCTTATACCAACAACTTCTACAGTATTCGTTTCTCGTATACCAAAGACAAAGCAAAACGCCAAAAATGATCGTCCAAAGTACGTGATATATTACGGGACCAAATCGTGAACTGAAGTGAATGCTTAGCCTTCAGCTAAACAAGCTGACAGTGGGGGTCAGCATCCAATGTTAAGTGATGATTGCTGTGGTCAATAATTTTGGGGAATTATTTACTGCTACAAGTTTCAGAAAGACATGAGAACATGGCTATCTTAAAGACCAGACATGCATATATGCACAGAAAAAACATGAAACGCTACTCAACATCCAGAATAAGGAAAAATAAATTGGCTGGTTTAACAATAGCTCAAAAAGGGACATCGGACTACGTACTTACTTTTGATACACTACATATAAGTGGTCGACACAACGCGCGACTGTCAAAAATTTTTTCGTAAGTGGCTGGTTTGGTGGCTTGTGCGTTTTTTGCTTACTGCTTGATGGGGTTTATGATGGGCCTCATTTAAATTTGAACATTTCTCATTGCTTTATGTTTTACAAGGTTTACTGTGGGTTTCGTTATTAGCTAGGATATATGTACTAGTCATATTGTGTTTATAAATGCCAATCTAAAACGTTTTCAAAAAGAAACAAGTATCTCATTACATGATTATGCTGCAGAAGTGGCACTCCGTATATTTTCATAGCTTTTATACTATTCATTACTTGTTTACGCTAGTTGGATGAGACTAGACTACCAGAATCCCATGAAAGAAGATAGAATGCGCTGTATTACAGAAAAAACACCGCTGGAAGTCTTAAAAATGTCTGCAGTCTACACACAAGGGGTATTTTCACCCCCCGATAGCCAATACGAGTCGAACTTCACAAGATTACCTGCGAATTTTATTATTGGTCTATAGCTGTTCGTTCCTTAAAACTAAACCTTAATGAAAGCCGAAGATTTTCTCAATGTGCATGACATTCTTCATTTCACTAGTATTCCAAAGGCTCATTTACTACCAGCTGAAAATTTTTTCAGACCGGATTGTTTGTTATGAAGTACCAATGCATGGAGAATCTAATGATGTGAGGTTTTTTTAAATTCACATATTGTAGCTTAGAAAAAACTTGTTTCTGCCTTTTAATTGAAAGAAAAATTGGTGTCGTAAATGAAAGTGTGAAAGTAGTCTATTTCGTAGCCGTTAGGTTTTTTAAAAGCACCTTAACTTCCTAAATGTCATCAGTGTATAAAATGTTTGTTGTTTTTATCATTTTGTCCAGTCTCTTCAATTGGTCTAAACGCGTCTTACCTTCAAAATTATTGTGGCACTATTTTCATCCATCACTGATAGAACTTGCTCGAATCAGTTTCCCTTTCTGGAGTCTAACATTTTCGACAAACTTAAGATATAAATAGCCCTGTCGTGTAACGTGTTAATGCAAAACTTACCGTAAAAGCGGATCGCTTCAAGTTGTTAAACATAATTTAATCCCTTGTTTCCTACCTAGTAGGTCCCTGTTCCATAATACTGTTCTTGTATACACACACGAGACAATAGGTGACATGGCTCAAAATCGTTGTCAATGGCTTACGCAGATGTATTCAGTCTCTGTAATCTTTCATATTCCTTTCTACCATTACTCATTCTGTTTCACTCTTATACTTGTCAAAACTCTATTGATTCTCTTCACTGATTTTCTTGTCTACCTTTGTGTGCTATTTGGAACGTGGCAACTCAAACTGCTGCACTTCGGTGCCAAGTTGTATGTTGAATCCAGACAGACAGAGACACGAAGTTTGACTAATTCAACAGGGTTGCATTCTCGGCAAGGGCTTATTGCATGTAACAGCAAGAACAATGAATGAAAACTCGCTAAAAACGTCAATTCAGTGTATAACATGCAAAACTCCTACTTGTCTAGAAAACAATTTCAAGTCTTTTTTAATGGTTCAAAGTCACTTTTAAAATAGCTGATTTTGCATAAGTTACTACAATGTATACTGGTACTAAGAAACATCTTAGACCATATTCCTTCGACCTTTAGATGATCATCATTTTCAAAGTTCAAAAGTTTATTACCTCACGTTTCCTCTTCTCCTGACTGGCTGACTGACTCACTATGTTTTCAGTGCACAATCTTGCAGCAGTTCAGATATAATATAATATATATAGTATAATATAATTTACAAAATACCCTGCAATTGCCGCAGTTCAGTTTGCTGCACTTCATAAAACAAATAATAAAAGCAAAGAACGAAAATAAAAGTAAAGTATGATAAACAGAGAGGTGCAGGAAAAGAGCCACCTGGTATGGCTGGTAAATTTCAGTCCTCTTCTCGAAATGATCTCATATGGCGATGTGTTCATAGTCTACTTCTGTCAGGTAATGCCTATTCACTGCCTTCACGCGGCTGGGGTGTTCCTCACAAAAGTGAAAGGGCGATTTTGAATGTTTGGCTCTTTCTGCGTGACTGGTCAACCTACAGTGTACTTGGGCATTAGAATCCAAACGTGTCGAATGGTGTGTGAGCCTCTTTTTGGGGACGCAGCTCGTGAAGCTGCCCCACTGCCTCGTCGACTGTACCTCAAGTCGAAAGCTCGTGGGATGGTCCCTTAAGACAACCACCTGCTTCGGTCTGGATGTGCAAGCAGTATTCCAAACGTCACACGAACTATAAGATTCTGTGTGGTGGATCTCCTGGTGCCCATAATAATAAAATAAGAATAAATACAGAAAAACGAATGATTACATGGAAAGTAATGGGGTGCACAAAGATAAAATGCATTGACAACAAATTCAATCCATTTTCTCAGCAGTCTTTAGCTATTGATCCTTAGCATTTCAATGACCCCAGTTGTGGCTTGAACAGAGACTTCATGAACTGATACCAAACTTTGACTTGACCTCCACTCTTTTCCAATCTAACTATACGTCGACTAACGTTGCACAATGAAAAAGCGATTACTTTTTGTGTGTAACACGTATTCTAGACATCCCAGTCGATCGGCTTTTCCTGCTTATCTTACACCACCCCTAGCTTTGAAATTCCTTACCATATTAAGCCACTTAACATAGGAGATATAACTGAAGTATTTGTGGTCAAAGAAAACTAGCCTCCTCATATCCTCCACTCTCAATGGACAGAACGAACTGCTACTCAGTACAATACCTCCTTTGATTGATAACCGGATATTATGTCTACGCCAGGGGATGACGTAAATTGGCTGACAAATGCCACACAAGCCCTTTTGTACCTGTGGTTAGGTCTCACTGCTTCGTTAAGCAAAGGACAAACAAAATCTATTCGTAGCGCTATTCTGGCTCATCTTGTGGAGACAGAACACAAGATTGACGTTAATCATGCTTTCAGGGTCATTTATCGCATACCTACGAATCTCAATTTCGCTTTAAGAGTTCGACTTCTAAATATTGCTGAGGCTGTGGGGATCCATATTAATAAGCCTAATTTATGCACCCAAAAGAAGTTAGTTCAGTCATTATCATTACCTTGGTCATCTAGGTTGGAATGATCCTCAATTTTTTGTAGAAATTTCCCTAATTTTAGTTGATATTCTATTCGCTATTATATCTTTATTATTATTATAATTTAAGCATCTTTAATGAACTGTAATAGCATTGATCATACTTTACAAATCGATATTATTTAAAAATTATTTAAATATTTTTATTAACTACTAATCTAGAATATTCTGTGTATATAAACATATATATAATTGTAGAGACTGGAAGAGGAATTTATCGAAAAGAATATTCTTTACTCGATTATTTTGTTTCATTTCAAACTGTAGGAAGCTTTTGCCACCTCACTTACATTTGGAGGATAGATAGCTGCACCTTCCCTTTAAACAAATAAGTAGGTGGATTACTGCAATATGCAAGTCTGATTACCGCGTCAAGGTAGCAGCTATATTGATCGCGTTATATGATTAACACTAGCATCATAGAAGTGCGGTTCATTCTTTAGGAAATGAGTTTTTATGTTTACCAGTGAACAGAGCACAGGTTAAAACATATGTTTTTTTTCACGCGGGTTATTTTTGAAGCTGCCCTTGATACCGTCACATGAGCTTCTAATTTCATTGATGACAATCCCATCTCGATCACGATAAAATGTGTGAGAAAAAGGTACTAAGCGTAGTCTCAGTTTTAACTCGTAGTATGTTTTTTTGTATTGGATATTTAATTATCTTTGGAAAAATTGAAAAAAGTCCTTTCCGTTCCCAGCGAAACAGAGGGCTTCAATTTAAAGGCTTTAAGTTTCAGTAGCAGTTGTATTTAGTTTTCTTTACGGGATGCGGTTGCTAACCTCACCTGGCCCAACCTTCTCCCTTTACCAGTCTTACTACTGGCTTAGCAAGGTAAAGGAGTGCGTCGGTCACTGGGGATCGAACACCAGACCATGTGCATGCGTGGTCCCCAAGCATTCTACCGCTGTGCCACCGATGCACTTTTGGAAGAAAATAATTTGACCTACTATTTTTCATTTACACCTTACTTTTCTACAGATAATAATGGAGCAATCTATGCGTGAACTTAGATTAGAGAATGGTGATCGTGAAAGCCAATATGGATATGTTTATGCTGTGTCAGGTCCTGGTAAGTGATTAGTTATTTCTTTATTGTGTTATTGTTCATTGTCAAACGTATTATTTTCATTTGGAATACAATCTTTATATTGCTTGTCTAAGGTAACCTAATGTGTAAATTAAAACAAGGTATATGTTTGAATTACACTCAGTCCTTTCTTTATCTTCTTACCGTGCGATAGCACGAAGGCTGCCAAAATCGCACTTAATCAGTTGGCGATCAGTGTCTGTAAGTATGGTATGTGCTTTGCACCGTCTAAGTGCAAAGTAGTACTGTTACAAGATTGACAGGAGCCTGTACCTTCACTCACTGTGGCAGAGGTGAACTGCTTGAAGTTGTCGAGAGGTTTGTGTATGTGGGTAGTTGTGTGAGTGCTTGTGGCGGGGTGACGGTTGAGATTTCCAATCGTATCATGTGAAAGCTAGGGTGGCATAAGTCAACTTGAGCCACCTCCGGAGCCGTTGTCAAAGGTCGATGCGAAGCTTGGCCTCTTCAGTGGGCGGTGGATGTGCGGTGACTCTGTGTATTCGATCATTGCTGTCTCCGTAGAATTGCTCGCGTTCGTTGGCATCATCGTGTGAGTCATTCTGAGGTCCAGCGACGTGTGTCTGAACACAGTAGAGATCACTATTCGTTGAGTGTCTTCGTCATCTGTAAAACCGGCTTCGGTGATTGCTTAGTCATGTGCTACGGATGTCATCCCAGAGGCTTCCGTACTGGCCTCCGTTCGCTAGCCCTGTGGCGGGATGGAAAAAGTGGAGAGGTGGTGTCGTGGAATGAATGGTATCTGTGTTAGGTTAGCATCAGTTGGTGCGTCACAACTCCCTGCCTGGAGTCGTAGAGATAGCTCTGAACGTTATCTAATATGGCCAAGGATTGCAATCATCAGTGGCGAACGTTATGCTGCAATTTCCTTCTTTCTTCCCTTTCTGATAACAATTTGACGAATGCTGTTTGAACTTGTTATATATGACTGCTTTCCTCCCAAATGAAGTACTTTATCCGTTCTCCACCTACATATTTTTACTTGTTTATCATATGTTTTTATTATTGTTATTGTGTGGCGCATTTTCTTGGTGCCATATTGGACCAAGAGTTTTTGTGTTTAAATAAATAAACCTACACTTTCAATTGGTTCCATGACCACTTGCTTAGGGAAGCTTTCGTCTCCTTTTCATTTCATCACCATCTCACCCTCTTATGCCCGACCCTTTGGTTCTCTTACGGGTTCCACTCGACGAGCCTCGCTGGTGAGTTGTGTCACTCAACAGTCTTTTCAGTGGATGTTCACCAATCCATCGATCTCCATTTTACTTCTGCATCCTTTGTTGGTGGTTGGGTAGTGGGTTCTTGACTAGTTCACTGTCTATCAAATCTTCAGTATCGAGTAAGTGAAGACAGCTGTTGACAAAAGTCTTTTCCAATTGTGATTTCGACGTCTTCGTCCCATCTCTCATATGTATGACTGACTGGTTTCAATGTAGAACTTTGCACAGATGTTCACCAGTTCAACTTGTCACTCTTCCTCCATGTAGCTCACAAAGCAAGAGAAGAGAGTAAACAGAAATTCAAAGAAGAGAAAGAGAGATAATAAACAGAAGTTTGAGTGAGGGTAAACGAATAGTAACATGGAAGAAGAATGGAGTTTTATTGGGAATGACAAGTGACAAAGAGTGAATGCATCTTCGCCAACCATACCATCAATTGTCTCCATCCAATTGGTGTGGTTCTTATCATACCGAGGACGCCAAGCAGCCAGAGAGTCTGCTCCTTTCTACGTGCCTGGCTCAATCTAACCGCTACCGATTTCATTGATTGATAAAGGCCTGTGCAGCACATATCCTAACCATCTGAAACAGTGTAACTTCACAACTCCGTCGGTTGATTTCCCCCTCGTCATCTAACATTGGATGGATGCCTAACCTAAATATTGCTCACCCATTCATACCACCACCTAACACGGGAGACAGAACGCAGACACCTATGATCAAAGACAGCTAGCCAGGCTTTTCATGTCTTCCACTTTAAGTGGCCATGTCTCACAAGAAATTTGAAAAGGAGGACGGAGCGGACTGCTTCTGTGCAGTACACACTTCCTTTAGTCAACAGGCAGCCAGATATCACGTCTACTAAGCAAGAGATGGCGTAAGTTGGCATATGTCAAACGAGCCTGAAATTTCATCAGTGATCAGCAGCCCGTTTGGGAGCAGATGCAACTCCCTAGATAAGTGAAGTGGTCAACGCGCTCTACCCCTTTACTCTCTATCTTCAGGCTAGGAGTCAGTGATAAATCAGTGTTTCTATATGAGATGCGTCGCAGAAAGCATTTCCATAGGGGGGGGGGGTACCAACAGCTGTTTTCTCTGTCTCGATACTGAAAACCAAATAGCCAGTTGTCAGGAAGGATAACCAACAAGAAATTCCGGCAGACAACGAAACAACCAAGAACCTTCCGGCCAACAAATATGCAGAAGGAAGTGTGTAGATGCATTGGACACACGATGAGTCGGCTCATTAAGTAACATCACACACGCCAGCCACCTATGGCGCCGTCGCGACGTTAGCCTGTCTGTCAAAGGTCGGTGGGCTGTCTTGCTCTATACCTGGGAAATCTGGCCTCTCCCAGCTGAGGATGTGAGACGACTCTGCGTGTTCGATCATCTCTGTCTCCGCAGAATTGCTCGCGTTCGATGGCATCATCGTTTGAGTCATTCTGAGGTCCAGTGGCGTGTGTCTAAACACAGTGGAGATCACCATTCGTTGAGTGTCTTCGTCATCTGGAAACACCGGCTTCGGTGATTGCTTAGACATATGCTACGGTTGTCATCCCAGAGGCTTCCGTACTGGTCTTTGTTCGCTAGCCCTGTGACGAGATGGAAAATGTGGAGAGGTGGTCAGTCCGTGACGTGGTGTCGTGGGATGAGTGGTATCTGTGTTAGGTTAGCATCAGTTGGTGCGTCACAACTCCCTGCTTGGAGTCCAAGTGATAGCTCGGAAAGTTATCTAACATGGCCAAGAATCGCAATCATCAATGGCGAACGTCGTGCTGCAATTTCCTTTTTTCTTCCCTTTCCGACAATAATTGACGAATACTGTTTGAACTTGTTAAATATGACTTTTCCTTCCAGATGAAGTTCTTTATCCGTTCTCTCCTTATATTTTTATTTATAATCTATGCTGTTTTATTATTATTGTGTGGCGCATCTTTCTTGGTGCCATATTGTACCAAGTTTGTTCCACGTTTAAATAATAATAATGACACACGCCAGCCAGGCACAACCCCCAGTGGAATCCGAATGAGAAATAACGACGAGTTAGTGGGTCTGCGTACCATTGTGACATGGAGGCGATCGTGTGACAGGGGGATACATGAGAGCCTATGAACAAGTGTACTATAAATGACAGTGAAAAATCGAAAATACTTGCCTACTGATTGATACTACTGGCTTTCATGAGTAGCATACTGTGCTAGTTTGTAGGGATTTGATTGATTTCAAGCTTGATCGCAGATTGATAGCAGTTAGAAAAACGCTAAAATAAAACCCACCAGGGAGTACTGTACTGGCGGTGCTGGACAACAGTTATATCCTAGTAGGACGAATCGGCAGAAGTTAAAATTCGTAGGCCAGTGAGTGAATAGTCAACAAGTTCGGCTTCGTAAACTGTGAAGGTTGTGTATTCGATCCCTGGTGAGTTGGGGTTATGGGTGAAGAGTTCCCAAGTGGGACGAAACACCTGTCGTCCAGTATTCCCTGGAGATTTTCACTTGTTCTACAACTGATATCAATCAGTGAACAAAGGACTTTGTAATTTTGACATTATCAGTTAGTATATGTAAATGTATATTATTTGTATTACATTTTAATGTTTACCTTTCTTTTCTTTTTGTTTTCCAGTTGTCACTGCCTCTTCAATGGCTGGTTCTGCTATGTATGAATTAGTTCGTGTTGGACATGATGAATTAGTCGGAGAGATTATTCGTTTGGAAGGCGATCTAGCGACAATTCAAGTCTACGAAGAAACATGTATCCTTTAGAAGTTATTGTATTTTTAGAAAAATGTTATCGCTATCATTTATGATTGTTACCTTCGCGGTAGGTAGGTGGGGAGAGGCAGTAAGGAGCAATTCTGTTAACCGCATAAGGTTCCATTCAGATAAGACATGAGGTTGGGAAGTTATATCGATTGAGATGGTTAGGGCATGTGTTACGCATGCATGACTTAGCCATCACCTTCCTCGACGTCGATGGGCGATATTAGCTGACATGAGACTGATCAGGTTGGAAAAGAGCTAGTTAGTGGTGGTCAAACCAAAACATGGCTTCATCAGTCAATCAAATCAATAACAGTTAGTTTAAGCCAGGCAGTCACATAGGGATGTGTAAACTGGCTTCCTGGTTGGCGGTCCTCCAGATGGTAAGAACCAATGACGACTGGCGACAATTTGTGAAATGGCTCAAAATCATCGTTCTCAGTGATGGCTGCAGATGCAGATGCATTCACTGTTTGTGATTTGTCATTATCCAATAAAACTTCATTGTTCTTCCATATATTACGGTTCTTTTCCCCTCACTGACACTTCTGTTTGTATTATCTCTCTTTTGAACTTGTCTTTACTCTCTCCTTTTGCTTTGTGTGCCACATAAAGGGTGACAACTCGAACTGCTGCACATATGCGCAAATTTCTATATATTGAAACTGGTTACACAGTCTAACTGAAATGACAGCAACAAAGACTTGTTGTTTGTGTGAAAATTATTCAGTGTGCCATTCCATAGCAGTGGTTTTATCTATCACTGGAGCTCAGACGAAGAAGTGATGTTCCAGTTGGGCGTTCTCTTCAATCAATGTATGCGTACTTTATATTAACATCTTAGAAACTTAAGCTTTACAGTGCTACATTTTTGTAGAGAAGTCGTTATTCCAGGGTGTAGACTTGTAGCTGGATTGGTCTAGATGTACTGGTTTTTAAATCACTGAGTGAAGAGTTGGAATGCCCCCCCCTTCCCACCTACCAAGGTTTGCACAGCCTGGTGTAGAAGCACAAGTGATTGCTGAATAGCACTCCATTCATCAGATTTTTCAATATTTCAATGAGTGATAATAGACATATCAAGGTTTTCAAGATTTGGTTTGTAGGGATTTGTTTCATGTGTGTGGTCATTGGGTTGATTGTTGTCAGTTGGAAAACCAGAGAGTACCGAATAGCTGTTTTATCCTAGTTCGGGATGCTTCAGGAGTAGGCGCCTATGACCCCACTCCTCTGGGGATTGAATGCAGGACCGTCACTGATTCAGTGGGGAATACGGGTACATCCAGATGACGAGTCTCAAATGGAACGAAGTGCACATCCTGGCTGGATTCCACTGCTAGCCACCATCAACCAGTTGAACCAACATTATGTGTGGAGGTTTGAATAGGGATGAAATAGCATTGAGATGTTGCCCTCATCTGTGGAGGAAGGTGCTTAGAAAACGTTGACCTTCAAAATTCTATATCCTCACCTACTCTGTGACAGTAAGGTCTTCTTTGTAAAAACAGTGCTCAAAACACCACTTCAAACAGGTCGTATGTAACCGACCTTAAGTGGTTGTCCTCTTGAACTCTGTAGTCAGTCAGCTATCTGTCTTGAAGTTATCAAATTTTACATTTCTGTTTCCCTTGACTACTACTTCTGTTGTCATTGTTGTTTTTACAGCTGGTGTTACTGTAGGTGATCCTGTCCTTAGAACTGGTAAACCTTTATCCGTGGAACTTGGACCTGGAATTGTAAACAATATTTTCGACGGTATGTACATTCTGTTTGCTATGTTTGTGAGAAAGAAATTATCATGAATAATAATTTTTGTGAATTAGTTAATTCTATTTATCTTATCCCTATTGTTAATCTTTTTTCGCTTCTTAAGAATACTTTTTTCTTTTCTGTCATACCGTCTTACAGTGAGTGGACGTCCCTGGTTCGAGTCCCATTCTACCTATTTTAGCTTTCACAAAATAAGTTTGGCTCTTAGTATATAGTATTATTATTATTGTTTCCTTTAATTCCTAGAGGAACATCGGACTTCAGCCGAACGTCGCCATTGCGTTCGGCTCTCCGCCACCGTTTTCACCTGGCTCCACGTCTACTCACATGCTTTCATCTCTTCACATGAATTCCTCCATGTCACCCTCGTACTGACGACCAACTTGCCTCTTCCCGTTTGGGTTCCACTCTACCGATGGCCTGTCGTGTGATGTCACTCACTTGATGGTTTGTTTTCTCAGAGTATGGCCAATCCACCTCCATTTCTTCCTGCATATTTGTTGCACAGTCGGTTCCTGCTGGGTTGGTTCATTCATTGCCAGAGATCCCTCCCTGTTGCTGATCTTCTCTGGCCAGCCATCTGATCTTGAGTAGTATTGAGCGAAGACAGCTGTTGATGAAAGTCTGTAGTTTGTTCGAAATGGCCTTCGTGACACTCTTAGTCGCATATATCAAAAACTTGTCCTGGGTCACTGAGCTGCCCATTGTATGGAAGCTAAAGGTACTATCCAGTTCACCTCCCCCCTCTCCAAGGCTAAAGTCAATGGAGCTGTATTCGAATTTAGCACCCGAATGACTAATTAATTGATTTGTTAAGCCAATGAGCCATATTTCGCCAAGTATTTTATTAAAATATTGAGTGTAAATCGTTGTAGAAATGCGGAATATAGCTTGTTGTGGTGTTAGCACTCGTTTCGAATGTGGCATCCAACTTACATCATCTCTGGGAAAGACATGAATATCCGATTATCGATCAAAGGACGTGTGTACTGTACACCAGTTTGCTGTGTCCTCCTTTATTACCATGAGGTATAGCTATTTATAGTGGAATATATGAAGATGCTTACCTCTTAACAGTTTGAAAAAATTTAGGCATTGGGTATATGATATTTATTATAATAAAGGTTTTCTTGTATTTCCCAATGCATGAAAAACAAAACGATATTGTTTTTACTGACGTTTCGCTATTTAATGCTAATAGCTTTATCAAAGTATTAGTAAACCGGAATTTGCAAAATCTCAGCATATATATAACAAAGAGTTAAGGAGTGATAAAATAGACTTAGGTCAAGTTAAAAGGACATATTCAAAGTCAAAATAGCAATGAAGATCACTAAACCAAATAACAAAGGTAATAGTACGTCTGTTATGGTATCAAAACATAGTTTACTAACTTGATCATCGTTCGTCAGTCTGGGATCATTTTTCGTTGTCAAGTTGGTCAGTTGGTAAAGATAACAAAACCAAGTGTAGATTGTTGGATTTGATAAGTGTGTAAAATTATAAAAGCAGTGTGTGTTTACATAGTGAACTTGCTTATCACATTCGTGTTGATTCTGTCACTTCATGGGGGAGGGAGGTGTTGTAACCAGGTCAGATTCTGTTTTAGTTCATCATTCCTATTCAGACAGTTTGGATTCCACTTGATATGAAGTGCTTCTGATGATGCTAGACGTTTTTTGTGATTTCTGAAATTTTTCTGGATGATAATTTCAGTAGTGTCAAAATCAATTTTGTGGCCTGAATCTTTAGCGTGTAGATGAGCTATGGCTGATGATTTTTCAAGTTTTTCTAATTCAACCGGATTTCTCGGTTGTGGTAGAAAAGATGCTCTACGATGTTCATTACTTCTGATTTTGATTTCTCGTGAAGTTTGTTCGATGTATATCGCATCACATTCCAAGCATTTTATTTTGTAGACACAATTAGATAGAGAATCTTTAGGGATTTGGTCTTTTATATAGACAAGGTTGCTTTGTAGTGTGTCTGATGTTTTGAAGAAAACTCTAATGTCGAGCTGATTGAGTACTCTTCTGATATCGCCTGACTTCTCTGCTCCATATGGAATGACGACTGTTGAGGTCCATGTCTATTTTCTCACCTCTTAACTCTTTGTTATATATATACTGAGAATATGTAAATTCCGGTTTAATAATAATTTGATAAAGCTATCAGCATTAAATAGCGAAACGTCAGTAAACCAAACAATATCGTTTTGTTTTTTTCATTCATTGGAAAATACAAAAACCTTTATTATAATGAAGATACTTACCGTCTATCTCTCGTATTAATTTGTACAATATGATGTTTAATATTGAATTTAGGCGTTAACTGTAACGTGAGGAAGGAAAGTCAATCGATGAAGTTGTGGAGCTACATCTACTCAGCTGACTAGAACACGTGTCGCGCATCCCGAAACCACCGCCTTCCTCGATGAACAGTGCTAGTTGACATAGAACTGAGTTGGAAAAACTCAAGGGTGGTCAAATCAAAACATGACTGCTGGTTTGAGGCAGCCATGTTACGGGAGGTGTAGGCTGCCTGGTTAGCTGGGGTCCTCGAGGATGCTAAGAACTAACGACTAGAGATTCAAAACTATTGTCAATGGTGGAGAGATGCATTCACACTTTCTAATCTTGTAGACCCATGAAATTCTCATGTTTCTGCTGTACATCTCTGCTCATTATATTTCTTTTGAGTCTCCTTTGTCTCTACCTTTGTATTCCCCGTGGAGTGTAGCAGACAACTTGAATTGCTTCTGCACTTCTGTGTTGAAACCCAGTTAGTCGGTCAATCACTCAGTGAAATTAATCGTCAAAGACTTCATAGATGTTTTCAAGTTTGTTGGCTTGGAGACATTCGATTTGATTACTTACAGGATTTCATCATGAGTTGGCGTCAGTTAGGGAACTATTGGAAAACCACCAGATAGTACTGGACAGCCGGCCGTTTCGTCCTAGTTTGGGACTTCCCATCAGTACGCATCCACCGACGAGGGTTCAGGACCTTCCAGTTGAAAGGCGCACTCGTAGACCATCCAGGCCCATTAGAATCCGACCCCAATGGTCCATTAATTCCAACTTGTGCCAATTCAACGCACGATATAGCTCAGCCACCAGCCAATCTGATCCCTGGCGAGTATTCGTCCTCACACACGTCCTACCCCAATTGTCACGATTGCCTACTGGGACCCGGTCGGTCGGTCGGTTCTCGACATAGAACTTTGCACATATGTGCGGTAGTTCAAGTCGCCACTGGGACCCAGATAAGTACCTACCTGAATATGGCCAATCTCTAGTGAGCATTAGGTTGATATTCAGTTTTTGGTTTGCAGGAAAATCCTGGGTTCGAACCCCGGTGGCGGTGGATGGCGTACTACTGAAGGGTCTCAAACTAGGACGAAACATCTGTCCAGTACTCCCAGGTTTTCTAGTCTTATCCTAACTTTCATCTGCTTCTGTATAACTGGCACTTTCAAACCAATGTAATAATGCTGACTGAATTCGCTCTACTGCGGTTAGTGCTGGGATATATCGATTTTTCCTATGTCATTCATTCATCAATTGCTTTGATAGTTTTTTTCCACTTTCATATTTCTTTCAGGTATTCAACGTCCTTTGAAAGGCATTTGTGATTTAACCAATTCAATCTATATTCCTAGAGGTGTAAATGTACCTGCATTAGATCGTAAAATTGAATGGGAGTTTATACCAACACCTGGTCTGAAATCAGGCATGCATATTACTGGTGGTGATATCTACGGTGTTGTACCAGAGAATACACTAGTACAGCATCGAATTATGCTATCACCAAAAGCTCAAGGTACAATCAAGTGGATAGCACCAGCTGGGCATTATACACTGTCGGTAAGTTTTTGTATCATTTCTTTTTTAATGATTGTATGACACGATCATGCAACATACTGTGAGGAGTGAGAAGACAGGAATACTTTCGAAAGACAAGAAGTCTCCAGAAGATTTGGGCTTCGTGGATGGTTTATATCTTGTCTGTGTTCATTTGAAGTTCTCCTGTCTCCGTCGCCTACCCCTTCTACCTACTTGTCGGCTTTCGCCTTCATCTCTCTGCGTTTGTGTGACATTAGACATGCACCATCCGTGAAGTGCAAAATCTTCAACAGAATTCTTCTCTGTCCAGAGTATTCCTGTTTTGTTATGATATGTGTGTAAGACTTGGACACTGTGGTAATATGTTATTCCATATTAATTTGTTTATTAGATACATCGTCACACAGTGTGAAACAGTATTGTTTACCGGATGCGATGACCTTCCGAACATAATCTATTGTATTGTTCACAATCATATTCTCAATTATAACGACACAACTTTGAAACTTTCGCTTTCTAGTTTTATTTATTCCTATCCCTATTCGTCGCAGGCATAGTAGTAGGATTTTCCAGATAGATTGTTCGGGGAGACAGGTGTTGAGTCATTCCTGTTAGTTGTAATATCAGTTGATTCGGTAAATAAAGCTTTCGTTATCAATGTTAGATTGTAGCATAAAAAGGAAAGAAGATGGGAAGTTAAACACGAGTGTGTGTTTACAGGAAACCCACACATTCAAACAGATATTTGGATTTCCTATCATTCCATCCTATGTCAGTAAAAATAGGATTGGTGAAATGTTTAAATGACAGAGCACAAAAACTAAGTAGTACCAAGAAAAATCTAAGACAGGAAGTGAGGTATATAACAGAAGCTGTGAAACTTAATAGTGACCCCGATAACTTAATCAGGAAGTATGTAGGGAAATGTAAAAAAAATAATGATAGTAGTGATAGTGATAATAATAATAATATTAATGACGACATGCATGTCAAATATGCGCAGGACAACACCAACAATAGTAGTAATTCCATGCAAGGAAGGAACGTCGGAAACCTTACGCTGAATTCTAAACAAGACAGGAATAAAAGTGGCTGGCATTCAAACTCACAAACTCAATTAGGAAGAAGCTTTGTCGGTTAATGGATCAATCCTGTGGAGCCTTTAAAACAAAACAACTTAGTTTATCTAATTCCCTACCGGCAATGATTGTCAGTTCAAATACATAGGTCAAAGTAGTAGAACAGGTACAGTCAGACTAGCCGAGCCTAAAAACCTAGCTAAATCTAGATTGGTTGACCCGAATAAGATAAGAAATCTAGAGAATAGTTCAGCTATATCACTCACTACATGCAATTACACACTTAACCATACAATAGGATGGGATAAGATGACAGACAATTTTAAAATCTAATGTAACCGCAGGGTGAATGGAGGGAGAAATCGATAACAGGAGCTTTGTTCATCGAATCAACTGCAAACACGTGTAACAGGAATGATTCAACAACTGTCCATTCATAACTCCTTTACCATTGTATGCATGAATACATTTACTTTGTGTAAACTTGAACTGCCGGTGTAAAAACGATATAAGTGTAATTTACTGAGCACTGTTCACTAATTCCGGAACATCCCCTGTCAACTGCCATCATGTAAAATTTGCAAGTATGTTAAGACTTTTCTGTACATAAACTTAATAATAATTTATTTAGATTGTAAGCAACTGGTGTTGATGGTACCACATTATTCAGCACAAACCACTGTTGTTCTTGCTTTATTCAAATTCATCAAGGGGAATAAATGTTTAAAATTTTATAAAATAGCCAAAAAAGAGGGGGGCGGTAGGGTGAGTGATGTTTAGACGAAAAATGAAAAAAAAACGTCACCACTGAGCTATTCGAGCTCGCAATTGACTTCCTGTACGACTGTATTGGAGGTGAATCGCGAATCCGAATAGCTCCTCACTGATGGTAACGTCTCTGACTGCAGGTAGCACTGGGTGATGACACGGGTTGGAATTTCAGAAGGAGGAACATAAGTTCCTTCAAGGTGGTTGCAGCAGATACGTCTTGCTGACTGGTGAGTGTCAGCTAACTAGCACGAAACATAGGTCAAGCAAGGCGGCTTCCTTCTACCGATTTCCTCCAACCATCTAACATCAACGTATTTTCCTTATTTAGCAAAAAAAACGTTTACTTCAATATTCTATCGTTGTTTCATCTGTTTTTTTCTTCTTGTTGTTGTTGGTGGTGGTTGTTTTATATGTTAGGATAAGATATTGGAGATAGAATTCGATGGACAGACAAGTCATCATACAATGCTTCAAGTATGGCCAGTACGTCAACCTCGTCCAGTTGCTGAAAAACTTCCTGGTAATCATCCCTTGTTGACTGGTCAACGAGTATTAGATGCTCTGTTCCCGTAAGTAGATGATATTTCTGCGTGTGTGTTTGCTTGTGTTCAAGCGAAATTCTCAGATACATTGAATGAATAATTTTTTAATGATATCGCACAAGGCTAAGGTAGCCGATCTAGTGATTGGCACTATCTTTACATGATAGTCAGGTTTGCATACCACCATAGTGTGAACCCCACCCAACCCCGCCTCAACCACCTAAATTGGCTAATACTGATGTTCTTACAGATGTGTCCTATCATACTAGAAAGGTCGTTTTTGGTTGTAACAGTTAAATTACAAGCAGTTATGCCATGTCTGGAGGCGTGTGGACGAAGTCGTATCTTTGTTGGGGAATAAGGAATGTAAGAATATGCCAGTGATTAATGCCTCCCTAGCCTGCAGAGGGATCGGGTGGGGAGTTAGTAAAAGGTGGTGGTTGATCCTGAAAATTGTGCATCCTGACGACTTTATCTTCCCGTGGTAAGATCTTAAATACGAACATATATCTTTGAAAACTGATTCAAACAGGCTGTGGGTGTGTGTGACCTAACTGACTGATTTCAACGTAGGACTCTCCACAGATGTGCAACAGTTCGAGCTGCCACATTCCATCATATAGCGCACAAAGCAAGAGAAGAGAGTAATCAAAGATTCAAAAGAGAGATGATAAACAGAAGTTTGAATGAGGGTGAAGGAATAGTAGAGTATGGACGAACAACGGAGTTTTATTGGATTTGACAAATCACAAAGAGTGTGTACATCTGCGCGAGCCATTGAGACCGATTTTGAGCCAGTGATATCACTAATTGTGTCCAAATTCCATTAGTTCTTACCATCCCGAAGACCCCAACCAGGAAGCTAGTCTACACCTCCCTACGTGACTGGATGGCTGGTCAGCTTAAATGAACTGTTATGGATTTGATTGACTGATGAAGCCATGTTTTCGTTTGACCACCACTAGCCTTTTCTTTTCTTACCTGTTTCTATGCCAGATAACATTGCCTGTTTTCGAGGAAGGCGATGGCTTTGTAGGTATGCGTAGTACATGTCCTAACCATCTCAATCGATGTAACTTCTTAGTCTCGTCGATTGATATCCCCTTCCTACCTAGCACTCGACCGATGCCTAACCTCAGTATTATTCACCCTATTATACCACCACCTAACATTGGATATTACTTTCAATGGCCGTTTCCCTTTCAAAGCGATAAAGGAGGACGGAGCGGACTGCTGAGCAGTACACATGCTCTTCGGTCAACAGTCAGCCAGATGTCACGTCTTTATGCCAGAGATGGCGTAAGTTGTCGAATAAATGCCAAACAAGTCTTTTGTATCTGTTCTGGGATTTCATCAGAGATCAACCTGTTGGCGCTGGCTGATGCGACTTCCTAAATAGCTGAAGTGGTCAACACTCTATACCACTTCACTCCTGCCTATCATTAAGCTAGAAGTGAGTCTTTGTAGTCTAGTCCTGTAGCATCATCCTACAGTTCTCAGGTCAGTCAACTCAATAAGAGTATATCGTTTTATGCAAATATGCAAAATATATGCCTACACTTTGATGATTACATCATCAATCTAATCTCACCACCCACCCACCCACCTACACACACACACACACAAGTAAACAAACAGACAGACAGACATACACCTCACTACATCCTATTTTATTCGCTTCACTTCCTCCTCTTTAAGAACAACAAAACGAATTGGTTTTCGTTATCATACCGTCAACTTAAAAATGAAATATAATCTTCAATAGATGAAGCTTAATTCATACATAAATGAATATTAATCATACAGAACAATGATGTAAATGATTACCAATTGAACAAAAAATCAATAATGCACTGATGCCACTCCTCGATTATCTATTAACACATTACAAACCAAAAGGAATCATCAATCTAATTCAATTTAGAGTTTCCCGTCGATTGATTGAACCGAAGTGCTCAGTCTCAGGTTGACATGTCGGCTGCTCCTTGTGTCAGATGCTTCGACGATGTCTGGTCAATCGACAGGAAAATCTAAATTCAGTTAGGTAATTAATAAGGACCGTTAGACATGAGGGGGATGCTCTCGTGACCCAAGGGGTCCGGTGGATAACGCTTTGGCGTCCGAAACTAAAGGCACTGGGTTCGAGTCTCGGTGGGAAACGCAGGTGCATCCACCAGTCGACGAGTCCTAAATGGGACGAAATGCTCATCCTGGCTGGATTCAACTGCTAGTCACTATCCACTAATTGAAAAGGAATCAATATTTACATACATACACTGTTGATTCAACATACTGATGAAGATTTCTGAATGGATAACACAGAGTAGGCATCAGAGTTACTACTGTTCTCCTTTTTTGCAAACTTGGTACATTTTAGGCACCAAAAGATGCACTAAACAAAACTTCATTGTTTGTAAGAGGACTGGGATGCTACTACTCGGATACTCTCTAGAGAATGAGACCGTTGAATGACATCATACACTAGCCAGGGGCTGATGATTAGCTCTCGAGTGGGAGCTTGTCCGACGGTGGTATAGAGGCGATCACCTGAAGAGTAGTAGATGAAGGCTTATGAGCTAGGTAAAGAAAACCGTGGTAAACAGGATGAAATGGAGGTGGAGCCCCTGCGTTCCACTCGGAACCCAATGAAAAAATAATATCAATACTTACATTCAGTTGGTTGTTTTAATTGCATCGAAAAGGGTTAATGATTTCATCCATCCTTCTCTTTCTTCCTTTCCTTTCCTTGGTTTTTCTATACAGATGTGTTCAAGGTGGTACAACAGCTATACCAGGTGCCTTTGGTTGCGGTAAAACAGTCATATCTCAGTCATTATCAAAATATTCTAATTCTGATATTATCGTCTATGTTGGTTGTGGTGAACGTGGAAATGAAATGTCAGAGGTGTTACGTGATTTTCCAGAGGTTAGTGATTTGTTTTTTTTTGTTGTTTTTATGTATATCCTCTAATGCTCAAGCTTCTCTCTTCTCCAGGATGACTACTGCTACACTACCTACCGGCTAGGAGTGTGGTTTAAGGGTGCGTCGGCTGAGTATCAAACTCGGACCATGCGAGTCTGTGTGTAGTTGGCGGGTATTCCACTCCTTAAACCACCGACTCTACATCGTGTGATTACTGACGATTTGTTCTGTACATTCCGTTGATTGATTCTTCTCCAGCGGAAATGCTGTCGGTGACTACTTATATGCACAGTGAAGAATGATGTTTTGGAGTTTAAATCGATGGGTGCTGGATTCGGAGACTCACTCACTCATTCACTAACTGGTAGATGTAGGTACATCACACTGAAGACGAATAATATGGACAACATTGAGGTTAGGCGTCGAGTACTAGTTGGTAAGGAGGAGAAATCAATCGATGAGCCTGTGAAATTACATCGGCTGAGATAGTTAGGACATGTGTTACGTATACCTAGTCATCGCCTTCCTCGACAACGGGCAATGCTAGACACTAACATAAGGTCAGGCTGGAAAAGAGCTAGCGGCGGTCAAATCAAAAAATGGCATCAGTTTAAGTTTAGTTTAAGCCAGCCAGTCACGTAGGAAGGTGTAGACTTCTGTTTGGTTGGTGTCCTCAGGACGATAAAAACCAATGAAGGCTGGAAACAATTGGTGATATGGCTCAAAATCGTCGTTCTCAATGGCTAATGTGGATGCATCCACTCCTTGTGATTTATGATTTCCAATGAAACTATGTTGTTCTTCGTTATTACTACTCCTTTTGTCTCACACCTCTGTTTACTGTCTCTATTATGCATTTCTTCTAGTTTCTTCTTTTGCTTTGTGTGCTACAAGGAGGGAGTGTGACGACTTGAACTGCCGCACATATGTGAAAAGTTCTATGTCAAAAACTGATAGACAGCTTGCACGAAACCTAGGTCAAGCAAGGCTTCCTGTGGCCGATTGCCTCCAACCATCTAATATCAGCAACACCACATGATACTTATACTTTTTCTTTACCATAATGAATTTGGTTCACAGCTGTAGGAACGGATTGTTCTTATTGACTGGCAATAGCTATTCTGATTGTCTGTTGATCTGACAGAGACCAAGACAAAATATGATAAATTTATCACACAATAGATTTCAGTTTGCGTGAGAAATGATGGATTAATATAGTAACTCCATCACAAGATATATCATAAGATTCGTGAGAAAGGATGTTGATATACTATTTTTAATGCTGGTGCCTATCATGTTTTAAGCATTTATGCTTAGGTATCCAGCAGCAGATCACACATATTCTACGTCCTCTGAATCATTTTGGTTTCCCAAAAGGAAATGGATGAAATGGCCTTTCAATATTTACCTTTGTGATGAGAGCTGTCTGCAAAACAAAAATGTAGACAACAATTTACGTCAATAATTACGTCCCAAATTGGGGTCATGGGAAAAACACAATATAACAAAGCATAACCTTCAGGGGCTCACCAGCCAATCAGAGCAGACTTAACGTGTGCAAATACGATTCGCAGATATGTGGCTTAACTTTCTAAGAAACGGTTGGTCACAAGCAGTACAGAATAGCTTTCATCAAGAAAACAACCAATCAGAAGAGGTTGCTTCCCTGCGGACAATAATGTACATAAAAATTTATAAATATCTGTTGATTTTCTCCATAAACGATCTATTGCCTGGCTATTGTCTTCTACCGTTACACCTTGACTGGACACTAGTCCATTGACTAGTGTAGTTTGTCTAGTCCTTTTGCTTGCTTGGTGCAAACTGAATTCTGACAGTCAGTCAAGTTTGCAATGTGCCCAGCATTCTAAGTGGCTAGCCATCACGGTGCACTTTGAATTGTTGATAATAGATGGTTGGAGGCAATCGGTAGAAGGAAGCCTTGCTTGAGCTAGGTTTCGTGCTAGTTAGCTGACACTCATCAGTCAATACCTTGAAGGAACCCATGTCTCTCCTTTTGAGATTCGAACCCGCGTCACCCACTCAGTGTTGCCTGAAGTCAGTCAGAGACGTGAAAACCATTGAGGCGCTATTTTGGGCTTAAAGCGTTATCCACTAGACCATCTGTATCATTTTGAGTATATATACCACCGAAAAGAGTACTTGAATATTCTTTATTAGTTCTCACTTTTTTAAAATTTATAACAGTTAACAATTGAAGTGAACGGTAAACAAGAATCAATTATGCAGCGTACAGCTCTTGTCGCCAACACCTCGAATATGCCTGTAGCTGCACGTGAAGCCTCAATTTACACAGGGATTACCCTGTCTGAATACTTTCGTGATATGGGTTATAATGTAAGCATGATGGCGGATTCAACAAGTCGTTGGGCTGAAGCATTACGTGAAATATCTGGTCGATTGGCTGAAATGCCTGCTGACTCAGGGTATCCAGCTTATCTGGGAGCTCGACTTGCAAGGTGAGTTGAAGTTTATGCTTTTTCTTTGTGCGCGTGTGTGTATTTCGTACTTTGATTTTGAGGCGACCAATCAGGGTTTGATCTTTTGCGAAGCGTTCATTACCCTATGAGGCAACATCTTGAGCGCATACTTCAATTTGATGAAGTGAGCTTTTAGATTTCTCCACGAGTCCACCATCAGTCATCTCTCCTGGTGACCACCTTGAACGTGATTGGTTGTTTTTGTGTTTTCTCACACCTGCTAGGCTATTTGTATTGGAACTTATTGTTTCTTTGACTTGAACTTTGACCCTTTGTGTGCGTGAAATTTCCTTCTTATCGATTGGTAAATTTTGTCTATCTCGATGTGTCTCACTGGAATACCAGGCTTCTCAAAATTCTCTATCAATAGTGGTGTTTCCTCTGTCTAATATTTGAACGTTGGTTGTCCCAGTCGAATTGATGTCCGTTGTTGTCTGTCTGTAGTGATACGAGGGAGTGTATGACATGTCTTTTGACGGCAAGCTTATGTTCGTGGATACGAAGACGAAGGGGACATTGTCCACTTTGGCCAATGTAGTGTTTTTCTCAGTTGTTACAATCTATTTTGTAGATGATGTTGGTTTTATCTTCTTTCACTGTTGAGTCTTGTGGTTGATACACGGCTAGCTGAATGAATTGATTTTGTTGGTTTGTGTGTGTGTGACGTCAATTCCTAAAGGTTGGAAGAGTCTTGCAGTGATTTCTGAGATATCCTTTATACATGATAGGGCGATTTTCTTTGTACTTTCCTTGGGGGTCTTTGATTTGGTAGGTTGGTTTGCTTGGACGTATATGTCTTTTGATGAAGTTCTGTGGATATCCATTCTTTTGGAAGACGTCCATGAGATATTATTCTTGAATTTTCCTTAAGGTAGGTGTGCTACAATGAATCCTGGCCCTCTTGATTAGTGTTTGTATGCAATTCCTTTTGTGTGTTATTGGATTGTTGCTGTTGTAATTCAGGATTTGGTCTGTATGAGTTGATTTTCTATAGACTTGAGTTTCTAATTCCCCTTTGGTTGTTCGCTTGACTAAGACATGCAAAAATGGGATTTTTTCGTGGATTTCTCTTCTCTTTTAAATTTGATGTCGTTGAAGACGTTGTTTATTAAGTTGTGAGTTTTATTCAACTCGTTTCTTTTAATTATTATAAATGTGTCATCTACGTACCGTATCCAAATTTTGGATTTGATCTTTGGTAAGATTATGTTTTTGAGCCTTTGCATTACTGCTCCTGCAATCAAACCTGATATTGGCGATCCCATGGGTGTTCCTTTAACGTGTTCATATATTTGGCCGTTGAATATATTGAGTTTGATCTGAATGATGAGTAGCGTTCAGTAGTTTCTGTTTTTTTATTGGAATGGATTTTCATCAGGTCAAAGTTTTCCAACTTCTGTCTTCTTAGTGACTTTGAAGATTCTGTAGCGGTTGAATTGATTTTTCCAGGTAGGGTCACTGACCTCACACCCAACCTTCCTACTGTTTTTTTGGGGGTGTGTGTGCTTAGGACTGGCTAGTGAACTAGTAAAATTAGGCCACTTATCTGACTTACCCAGGCAGCATTATTTTAAAGACAGACAGTCGGCACAGATGAGGATATCAAAACCGCCAAACCAAAACAGATTATCACTAATCTAGAATCAGTGTGAAAACCTACTGCTGACACTAGTGTCAAGTCACTTCTTCTAAATGGTTGTTGATAAGTTGATAAGTTTGTGTATCTGGGTAGTTGTGTGAGTGTTGGTGGAGGGATGATGGGTGAGATTTCCAATCGTATTATGAAAGCTAGGGTGGCATACATCAACATGAGCCACCTCTGGCTCCTTCGCAACGTCAGCATGGCTGTCAAAGATCGGGTATACAATGCTTCGGTACGAGCTGTCTTGCTCTACGCCTGTGAAACCTGGCCTTTCCGAATGGGCTGAGGATATGTGGCGGCTTTGCGTATTCGATCATCGCTGTCTCCGTAGGATTGCTTGCGTTCGATGGCATCATCGCGTGAGTAATTCTGAGGTTTGGCGGCGTGTGTTAGAACACAGTGGAGATCACCATTCATTGAGTGTCGTCATCTGGAAAACTGGCTTCGGTGGTTACTCAGTCATGTGCTATGGATGTCATCCCAGAGGCTTCCGTACTGGTCTGTGTTCGCTAGCCCTGTTACGGGATGGAAAAAGTGGAGAGGTGGTCAACCCGTGATGTGGTGTTGTGGGATGAAGGATATCTGTACTAGATTAGCATCGGTTGGTGTGTCACGACTCGCTGGTTAAGGTCCGAGAGATAGCTCGAGTTGATGGCTCGAAACGTTATCAGATATGGCCAAGAATCGTAATCAATGGCAAACGTCGTGTTGATATTTCCTTCTTTCTTCCCTTCCCGATGAAAGCTGACAAATGCTGTTTGAAATTGTTAAGTATGACTGTTTTCCTTCCAAATGAAGTTCTTTATCCTTTCTCCACCTGTATTTTTACTTTTAATCTATGTTGTTTTATTATTATTGTGTGGCGCATCTTATTGGTGCCATATTGTACCACGTTTTTCTGCGTTTAAAGAAATAAATGATGCATAAATGGGTTCAGAGACTTGGCTTGTGCGTCAATGGAAAGCATTTCGAACAGGCTGATGCGGTCTTTCATCAACAGCTGCCCACTTCGCTGGCTCCATACTACAGGTCAGATGACCAGAAAAGATGACCAACAAGGAATGTGGGCAACAAATCAACCGGAAAACCTATTTGACTTACGTTGAGGCGACCGTTGAGAGTGACATCACACACTAGGCACTAGAGTGAAAACCGAATGTGAAACAATGAGTTGAACGTCCGTCGGCAACTCGGAGATCGTGTATGGAAGAGTTGAAAGTCTATGGACAGTCGTTGAGCCAGTTAAAAAAAAAACAGAACTGTGCTGCTGAAACCCCATGTCCCAGTTGGAACCAAAGGAAATAATAATGGCCTAAGTGCAAGAAGTCGGTTATGTTTTTGTAGAGCTTTTCTAAGTTATCGTCTTTTCTGTCTCCCTCCTAATTTCTCCTTTTTGTGAAGTGATTGATCTCTTCCAACATGTTAGTGATCTCGTTTTATTTTCAGATCAGGTCATCATAGTGTAACCTTAGCATATTTTCTAGCCTTTATGTAGCGCATGTGTAGTTTGTGTTGATTCTGAAAGGAGTAAATATATTAGTCGTATGATTTATATATTATCATTTATTGTTGTTCCATTGGGTTCCAAGTGGTACATAGCGCCTCAACAACACATCTTTACTTCGACTTATTCTCTGTGGTCCTCTTCATCTGGGCCCACGACTGCCCGCAGTCTCTCAGCTCCTCCTCACCACACGATCTCCTCCATGTCACACTCAGACCGACGCCTAACTCATCATCATGTCGCATTCGGGTTCCAGTCGAACGATGACCCGGCTGGCGCGCGATGTCATTCGATGGCCTCCTCACTGGCGTGTACCCGATCCATCTCCATTTTCTCCTGCAGATTGGTTGAGGGATAGTTTCTTGGTTAGTTTGTTCCCAGAGTTTCTCGTAGCTAATTCTTCCTCGCCAGCCATTAGATCTTCAGTATGGAGCTAGAGAAGATGGTGGCTGTTGATAAAAGTCTGTAGCAGCCCACTGGAAATGTTTTTGTGACGTGAGCGCCAAGTTTCTGACCCATATAGAAGAAATAACTGAATGAATTAACATTTATGTTGAAAATCCGAATCTTGTTATATATGCTGGCTGAGTAAGCAGAAGATTTCCAAAATGGTTTCAGGTCGGAGAAGGCGTATCTCGCCTTTCCGATTCCGTCTGGTTTTGACATCCTCTTCCCTTCCTACTGCCTGTGGTTGAAACTGTTCTTTCTGACTGGATAAGTGAAGGAAGTAATCTCATTCAGATTTATCCCAGTGATGATGATCGGTGTTGATTGTTGTTGTTACTGTTGGTTGGTTGGTTGGTTATGCTCATCACCTCCTGGAGTCCTGTCTTCCCTGTCTGACTATTCAACCAGTTTGTTGCTTTTGTTCTGTAAGTCTTCGAGTTTGTGTGACATTAAACACAAATCACCTGTGAAATCCAGACCTTCTAGGTAGAGTCTTCTTATCGGTCCAACGTATTCCTATCTTCTCACTCCTTGTACACAGTCTGACGCATAATCCAGTCCACTACAATTAGGAATATCATCGTGAGTGATAACAGATAGCCTCATCTTACTCCTGTATTCACTTCTAAATCTTCTCTGAGTTTCCTTTCTGTCGATCACCTGACACATGAAATTGTCATGTAGCCAGCTGTTGAATGAAGTTGATAAAGATTTCTTTTTTTGTATTGACATTTCTCTACCTTGCGTACTTAAATATGAGGAAGAGGGACAACTTGTATTGTTGTTACACTTCTGTGCATAGTCCCATGTTGAAACTCAGTCAGCCAGTCAGTCAGATATCTTATTACCATTTATATATTACAGTTACTTAAAAATATTGATTTATTTTCTCTTTTTCCCTATAGCTTTTATGAACGTGCTGGTCGTGTTCATTGTCTCGGTGGACCAGAATTACGTTATGGATCAGTTGGTATTGTCGGTGCTGTATCACCGCCTGGTGGTGATTTCGCTGATCCTGTTACATCAGCTACACTGAGTATTGTTCAGGTTTGTAATATATATTTTGTGTGTGTGTGTGTTGTGTGTGTGTGTGGTAATTTCAGAGGTTGTTAAAGTTGACAAGTTTGAAGGATTTAACTCTATGAACTATTATTTATTCTCTTACATTCCGAGTTCAACATAAAGCTTCAGTAGAAAATGTCCATTTTATCCTGCTGTCTGTGCGGTCGTGTTTATCCGGCCACACGGTTTTCTTTAAACCCTCATCCTCCTCTTCACATGATATCCTCTATGTTACCGTCGGGCTCCACTCCACCGATGGCCTAGGGCATGATGTCATTCAATGGTCCCTTCAACGGATCCCTTCGGATCGGATCCATCTTCATTCTCCCCTTCTGCATATTTGTTGAGCAATTACTTCTTGGTTGCTTCATTTCCAGAGTTGCTTGTCGTTTCTATCGTGTCACCTGATCTTCAGTATCGTAGTGGAGAAGTTAGCTGTTGCTGTTGGAGATGTTTTTCATGACCTACATGGCAAGTCTCTGAAACACACGGAAGCACTGACCGATTTGACATTTTAGTGTTGTAAATCTAAATGTTATCATTTTTGCTAAGTGCAGAAGATTTTCACCCTGAATTCAGAGTAATGAATACCTGTCTCTTACGTTTTCGATCCTGGCTGCTTTTGACATCTTCATCTGTGCGGTCGACTGTAGCTGGAACGATGCTGTCTAGCCAGATAAGGGAAGGCAGTGACCTCCTCTTTCAAATTTCTCCTGTTATTAGTGATTGGTGCTTGATAATGTCGGTTGGTTGGTTATTTTCATCACCTCTGTCTTTTCTATTTTCTATGAAAAAGAGATGTTCAGCGAAGAGACTCTTTTCAGCGAATTCATTCACATAGCTGTACAATCGCATTTAAATATACAATTATTTGTGTGTGTGTGTGTGTGTGTGTACGTACATGAGGTTTGTCAAGTTCAGATAATTAATCAGGTAATACCAGAATGATCTAATATAGAAACAAGGTTAATTAGACAGCAACTAAAGTAAGATTGAGTTAGTAAGTTAGATGACGTAACATAACTAAAATGTTTCAACTTAAGTCAGGATAGCAATAGAGGTAATTACAGGTAGAGACTAAGTAGAGGTGGGATTGAAAATAATGTCATTTAAATTAGAACTTAAATTGAGCAAATAAATTGGATGACGTAGCATAAGTGACGAGAAATTGAGCGTTAGTCAAGTCAGTAACAGTGGCAATGAAGTGTAGAAATTAAATCGGGTGGGGGTAGGGAACAGGAAGGTTGAAAATATAAAATATTACAATTGAAAAGACAAAATACTAATGAAGAGACAGAAAGAAATAGAATTTACCTTTCGGGCATTAAGACAGAATACGTCCATTGTGAGTGTAGTGATCGAACGAACTTCTTTTGTATGCAGAGTTCACGACTTTGCAAGTGAATTGCCATTGCTTCTGCAGTTTGAAGAAGTCTGATTCCTACACTTTTAGGAAGACTGCTTCATATTATGTAGACGACTTTGAATTTTTTTGGGTGTAGCTTGGTGTCCGCAATATCAGATATTCTAAGACAGAGCTTCGGGGACAGCGTTTTTCTCCTTTGTAAAACCATTCTGGTAAGTGTTCGGTGATACGTTTGGAAAGCGAACGCTGACTACGGCCGACATACCTGGCTCCACATGAGCAGGTGAATTGGTGGATATACATTGCATTGAACGCTCTTTTTATGCAGCTGACTTACATTTGGTATTTACCAGCCTTAAATGTGATTCGACAAAGAGTTAAGCATTAGCTACCGCTTATATCCATCACCCTGTATGCGCATATATCCATTCATATGTTCGTGTGGAGCTTCTGATTACATTGGATGTTGTAAGCGTGTTCTCCGTAAACGCGTAACTGAACACTACCACCCAGTTTGGTTAATGAAAAGTGAGCAAAGGACGACAAAGTCTTCAACCTGTGAACATCTTCTGGAGTCAGGTCATTCAGCCGCCACATATGTGATTTATCCTTTGAAGTTATCTACAATGGCGGATAATAATAATAATAATAGTAATAATAATAATTTGCTTTATTCCAGAAACAGTACTAGTGGTATAATGTGGAATTTTCAGCACATATGTACAATATTTGCATCTAATTTTACCGACATTTAAAATAAGTATGAAACAAACAAAAAAAATAAATCTGAAGACACCAACAGCAAAAAAAAACAGGATAAACACAAAATAATTATAAATGCGAAAAAGTACCAAAGTCTACCAAAGTCTAATGCAGTGTTTGTGGTAGTGGTGTGAGTAATCCTGAATAATACAAAATCTTTAAGGTGGTGACTATGGCGTTCACAAACAATGATTGTCAGTTAATATTGCCGAAAAGTATAGAAAATAAGAAAAAAAGCAACCACAAAACTAATAATTACATGATGGTTAATGACAGGACAATTTTGTAATACTCATAGTGCTAATAGAGTCGGAACCAGTGGATACACAATAGAAGGAATATAGTAAAGTACAAAAAAAGAAGCCAATGTTAATATTTCAGATAGCTAAGTATGTTTGAGAAGGAGTTTACTAAAGAATACAAAATAAGAGAGAAATAAAAGAGCCTAAAATTATGTTGTTAATAACAAAGCAAGTCATAGGTTTCACGCTTAACATAGTCTCTGTCGCTTATAACACGGGCCAAGTATGGTATCGTTGAGTTCCTGTACTTGGTTGTACGAGCATAGATTATTTTATACTGATTTCTGGTTCTACTTGATGAGATACAAAGCGAGAGTTGGGAATAGAGGGGGTGTTGAGGGCCTGAGCGTATGGTTTTTGACCATTTTTCGCATGTATTCAGATGCCTATCAACTAAAGTAGTGACGAGCTGACTGAGATTTACACCACTAGTCCTACTAACTACCCTCAACATCCTTCTCAGGATGGTATAGTCCTTTTTCAGTAGACCAGGAAAGACAAATCCAATCACTCCAAAATGTAATATTACCGATATACTATTATTATTATTTTTATCACTTCTATCATTGCAAAGCCATTGTTGACCATGTGTGTTGTGCTGAACAATATCGAATAAAATAGTCACACACATACTTCTATGCACATACAGTTTGGTTTTACTATTTCGTCTGTTTGACCTTTAAACTTTCTGATTTAATGATTACTGTTATTATTATTATTATTATTATAGGTGTTGAGACTATATGCCAATTAAATCGTTTGCTCAGCTTTTATTTTACTCATCAGTTTACACAACCTTTGAATTATGGTCATTTTTATCTAAACTGTACTTTGATACTACTCACCGTGTGTGTGTGTGCCTGTGAGTGTGCTAGGTGCCGATTCCATTTGTGATACCGATTCTTAACACCACTTTTATTTGCACAAATCTGAAAAAAGTATCATTATTATTATTATAATCATACTTGTTAGCTAAGAGATAAGAAACCAATTATTCAAATAGAGCAAAGTTGATTACATAATCATAATCGATACGTGTATATAAGGTGATCATTGTTTGTACACCTACCTACCTACCTGTGTCATTCACTTCAAATTTAATTACAAAATGATCTGTTAGTTATAGAGTCACTGGAAACTAAGGTATACCATTCAGCCTTTTCGGGCTTCTGCCAACTCGTCATATAAATATAATACAGTTGCCAGTCAGTGTCATCGGCGAGTATTCGTCTTCAGCTGAAACTTGGTGATGTATCCTGCCGGTCACAACTTCTTAGTAGTAGAATTTCAGGCAATTTCAGCCTTTTATTGGTTGGTTCGTTTTTAGAGTTTCTTGTTGGAAATCATTTCTCATCAGGCATTTATTAGAAGTCTGAAGCCTGTTGGAAGGGCTTTCCGTGACACGCCAAGTCTCTTGAATACTTCACTTATTTGGAGAGTTGCAGCAGAGTCAGCGCCAATGGGTTGATCGCTGGTGAAATATCAGTACAGATGCAGAAGGTTGGCTTGGCATTTGCCAACTTACGCCATCTCTGGCTTAGTAGACGTGATATGCGACTGGCTAGCTGTCGACCGAACGGCGTGTGTACTGCACTGCAGCAGTTCGCTCCGTCCTCCTTCATAGCTGTGAGTGAGACATGATCATTGAAGGTAGAAGACATGAAAAGCCTGACTAGCTGACCGTGATCATAGGTGTCTGCGTTCTGTATCCTATATTAGGTGGTGATATAATAGGGTGAGTAATATTGAGGTTACGCATCGATCGAGGAAATCAATCGACGATGTTGTGAAGTTACACTGATTGAGATAGTTAGGACATGTCTTACACATGCCTAGCTATCGCCTTCCTCGATGATTAATGCTGGGTGATATAGGATCAGATTGGAAAAGAGAAAGCTAATGGTGGTCAAAACAAAACATGGCTTCATCAATCAATGAAGTGCATAGCAGTTAGTTTAAACTCGCCAGCCACGTAAAGAGGTATAGACTGGCTTTTAGACAGTCTGGTTGGGGTCCTCGGGATGGTAAAAACCGAACCAATGCTTAGTGTAGTAAATTTGCATATCGTAATCTATGGTTGAGATTGTACTGCGTCGATAAACCGAACGTGTGATTTCCGTTAGATCTTTCTCTTAGACGGTGATTTTCGCTCCTTGTTATTGTTGTTGTTGTTGGTGGTGGCGAGTAGGTATCTTCATCACCTCTGTCTTCGCTATTTATTCACTTAAAGTGCTGTTTTCGCTACTTGTCCTGCCCAACTGTTGATTTTCGCCTGTAGATATTCTAGTTTGTGTGATATTAAACAAGAATCATTCACGAATGACTGGCTGTATAGAGTCTTCTTATTGGTCCGACGTATTCCTGTCTTCTCTCTCCTGCATAATCTAGTCCACCACAATCAGGAATATCGTGGCGGATAGGGGGGGAAGTGATAGCAGACAGTCTTGTCTTACTCCAGTCTTAACTTCCATGGCACTTGACATGTGACATCGTCACTATCATATAGTTGTTGAATGAGCTTGCGTCAATGCACTGCATATAGTGTTTAAGCAGTTTCCAAATCACACTTCACGGTCATTGTTGTCGACAGCTTCTTCAAACTCGTTGAAAAGTTGAGGTAGAGATATTTGACTAGCATTCTATGCTCCGTTCTATGATGATGTTGATGATGATGCGTGGCATTGCGATTTAATCCGCTCATAATTTGCTTTTCCTGAATTTCTGGTGGACAGAGTTTGCCATCCAAAGCATCTTTTATTCTCTCAAAGATGAAACGACTTCATATTTTGTTCGGCGTTGTCAAGAGCATGATTCCGCGCCAGTTTTTTTGCATTGGTAGGCATGATAATTTTATATTTTCTGAAATACAGGACGAATATTTGATTATTATGATTACTATATTATTATTGTTTCCTTTAATTCCTAGAGGAACCTAGGGCTTCAGCCGTGCGTCTCCATTGCATTCGGTTCTTTGCTAAAGTTTTCACCTGGCTCCGAGTCTGCCCACATGCTTTCATTTACTCTTCACATGACCTCCTCCAAGTCACCCTTGCACTGACGACCAACTCGCCGCTTCCCTTTCGGGTTCCACTCGAGCAATGGCTTGTCTAGTGATATCACTTGATGGTTTGTTTCCTCAGAGTATGGCCAGCCAATCCATCTCCATTTCTTCCTGCCTATTTGTTTCACAATCGGTTCCTGGTTGGTTCGGTCATTGCCAGAGATCTCTGTTGCTGATCTTTTCTGGCCGGCCATCTGATCTTGAGTATTGAGCGAAGACAACTGTTAATGAAGGTCTCTTTATGACGTGCCAAGTCTCTGATCCGTATAGTAAGTAGCACTGACTTCACATTGGAGTTGAAAATCCGGATATTATTTTCATTTTCATGCTGAGTCTTGTTCATCTTCTCCACACAGACTTGAGAGAAATGAAAGCTTGCCTTGCTTTCCTGATCCTTGCTTTGATATTCTCTTCAGTTCCGTCTGTAGTTGAAACGATGCTTCCCAGGTAAGTAAAATAGGTTGTTTCTTTCAGGTTCCTCCCATTTATGCTGATTGTTGTCTGTTTTTGTTGTTGCTGTTGTTGTCGCCCAGGAATCTTCATCACCTCTGTTTTCTCTATAAATACGGGACAAATATTTGATTGCTTTATATATATGTACATATATATAAATATATCCCTTATTTCTTCTTTCCTTCTTCCTTATATGTGTAGGTATTTTGGGGATTGGACAAGAAATTGGCTCAACGTAAACACTTTCCCAGCGTTAATTGGCTTATATCCTATTCAAAGTATCTACGCACGCTAGATGATTATTATGATCGTCATTTCCCTGAATTTGTTGCATTACGGACTAAAATGCAAGAAATTCTGCAAGAAGAAGAAGAACTCTCTGAAATTGTTCAATTAGTTGGCAAAGTAAGTCTGCTTGTTGCTGTTGTTGTTGTTAGTGTTGGTTTTTACTGTTGGCGTATGTGGTTATTGTTCCTGTTGGTGTTGTTGGTGGTGTGTAGTTGAAACCTCTCCCCTAGACAATTTTATACATTTGAAAAATAAGGATAAACTACTTAATTCCAGCCTTTCTTGCCCCTCTTCATGTGTATCTACAAGTTTGACTGCTCCTGTACAGTTACAGTTACATTGGCTGTTTTTTAGATTTTTCCATCGATTGAATGGACCGAAGTACTCAGTCTCAGGTTGACATGTTGGCTCCTCCTTGTACAGATGCTTCGACGATGTCTGGTCATGTAACTAGAAGTCAATTGGTGGATGGTGAGTGCTAGCAGTGGAATCCAACCGGGATGCGCATTTCGTCCTATTTGGGACTCATCAATAATTAATAAAACTCGTTGCAGAAGAAGTGGTGACTCTTGTGGCCCAAGTGATCAAATGGATAGTGCTTTGACGTTTATGACTATGGGCAACGGCTTCGAGCCCCGGTGGGAACACCATCACCTACACACTGGGAAATGCAGGTACATGCACTAGCTGATGAGTTCCAGATAGAACGAAATGTGCGTAATGGTTAAGCAAGGGATACATAAAGATCTATTTGTAGCCCCATTTCACCACACCTTGTAGATAGATAGTGAGCATAAAGGTAATGATAATAAAGCATTCTGACCAATGTTAATTTTACTTAACGAGTTCATCTATATATATACAGCTGAAGTTATTGGAATCCACCTGAAATAGCTAGACCGTCTTTTCTTACCTTGGCTATCGTTACATGAATATAAAAAAAACCTGACAATTTCACCCTCCTTTTAAGCATTTTACATGTTATCATTGTCTTAATTATTTTATTCTTCTGACTGCTTATTACGTAATCGATTTGAGCACTCATTTATTTCTTAATTACTTCTCTAATTATTCTAAAATCACGCATTATGTAATGGTCATTGAATGAATGAATTTTTCTGAGCGTTGATCTTCTTGAGGTTGGATTGATTTTGGGTTATGGTGAGAAGACGTATACGCAATAGTCATTGATTTTCGAAATTTGACAGACGTTAAAATTTCTGAATTCTGACTTCAAATGGCTGAGTGCTAATGTGCTCGTGTCGTCCCTTGAGAATATCTTGGGATTACTCTGTGGGGTAGGATCATGCTTGAGTACTGTTAGAGTGACTCATACTGTAACGGTAGATAGACGAGAGACTTGATAAAGGAATGGTTATTTGCAATTTGATATCTCTATATACCGAAATTATGCACACCTTATCTTCAACGCCGCACCATTTGCACAGATCTTCCGTGTTATTATGCAACTTCTGGCCTTCCTTGTGTGTGTTTTTTGTTCCTTTGACGTCTCCCATTCATCTCTCCCCGCGACGCTGTATCACATTTGCTTTCTCTGACATCAAATCCATCTCCCTGCTATTTTATGTTTTTCTGTCGGTGGATGAACATCTCTTTCCGTATATATACTACTGATGAATCTTATCAGTAGTATACCCCACAATACTAGCGCCAAACGGCTGTCTTTTTCTCCTAGAGTTTTCAGTGGTTCTTCTTGATATGCGGCTATCGATCAAAGGGCGTGTGTACTGCACTGCAGCATTTTGCTCTGTCCTCCTTTACGGCTGGCTGTGAGACATAGCCACTGAAAGTGGAAGATATGAAAAGCCTGGTTAGCTGTCTTTGATCATAGGTGTCTGAGTTCTATCTCCCGTGCTAAGTAGTATAATAAGGTGAGCAATATCGAGGTTAGGCTTCGGTGGATTGCTAGTTAAGGAGAAGGGGAAATCAATTGACGAGGCTATGAAGTTACACCGGTTAAGATGGTTAGGACATGTTTTATGCATGTCTAGCCTAACCATCGCCTACCTTGAATACGGGTGACGTTAGCTGACATAGGATGGATCAAGTTGGAGGAGAGAAAGCTAGTGATGGATAGTGAGACGAAGATATGACTTCATCAGTCAATCAAATCCACAACAGTTAGTTTAAGCCGTCCAGCCAGCCACGTAGGGAGGTGTATACTAACTTCCTTGTTTTGGTCCTCGGGATGGTAAGAACCAATGTTTGCTCTTTATCCATTCAGCTTTTATTGATTTGCAGGTTTCTTCACTTCAGATTTTTTTATTATTTTATAATATGCTTCCTTTTGGAGTCCTACAAGATTATTTATTTCCCCAATTTTGTTTTTAGGCATCTCTTGCTGAAGCAGACAAAATCACATTGGAAGTTGCACGTATTATAAAAGATGACTTCCTACAGCAAAATGGTTATTCATCTTATGACAGGTAAAATCAATTGTGGTGTCATTTGTTTCCTTTTTTGTTAGTGTGTGTATGTGTATGTATGTAATGCTTCACTGGTAGTGGTAACATCTGTGACTTCATTGGCACTGAGTGACGTGGGTACAGATCTCGAAAGGGATGTTGATTCCTTCGAGATTGTAGACACACACATCTGTCTGTCTGTCTGGATTCAACATAGAACTTGGCAACGAAGTGCAGCACTTCGAGTTGCCATGTTCCAAAGAGCACACAAAGGTAGACAAGAAGATGAGTGAAGAGAATCAATAGAGTCTTGACAAGTATAAGAGTGAAACAGAATGAGTAATGGTACAAAGGAGTAGGAAAGATTACAGAGACTGAATACATCTGCGTAAACTATTGACAACGATTTTGAGCCATGTCACCTATTGTCCGTCTCCAGCCATTGATTCTTAGAGTCCCGAGGGCGGGCCCCAACCCGGAAGTCTGCATCTCCCTACCTGACTCAGTTCAACTGTCAAGGATTTCATGGATTGATTGATGTCATGTTTTTGTTTGGCCACCACTTACTCTTTTCCAACCTGCACCTATATATCAGCTAGTAATACCCGTCGGGGGAGGCGATGGTTAGGCATAGACACACACATGCGTCTTGCTCACTGACTGACTGACTGACTGACTGATGAGTACCAGCAAGTGTGAAATCTCTTGCTCTAGTCAATGTTCCATCCCAGTTGCCCCTACAACCATCTACTAAGTCTATTGTCAGTATGCCTTTTGCTAATTGAACTATTGAGACTAGTCAGGCCCTGGTTATTTCAAAGGAGACCTGCAGGTTTCTAATCTTATTTCTGTCTGTGAAATCAATATATTGACTGAATCCTTTTGAAGTGATTTCAATGGGATTCAGCTGTCTAAGTTGAATAGATCGTCTATTTCCCCAAAATGAATAACTCTCATCTCTTTAATGTACTCAAAAACCGTTATTGTTTCTTCTCGATGAGTAGTTGTCATCTAATCATAATATCTAGTGGTATATATAGCGCAAAACGGATAACCTATCGCCTAAAAAATATACAAAGAGGGATGGAGATCGATAGATTGAAAATACACTGAAAAGACCATTTAGTGACATCGCGTGTCAGCCCGGCTGTCAAGCTGGAAACCGAACGGGTAGTGACGAGTTAGGTATGTGAATGAGTTTGACAGAACACGTACTGGACAGCTGTTTCGTCGTAGTTTGGGTCTCTTCACCAATGCGCTCCCACTTGGATTCGAACCCCGGGGCTTTCCGGTCGCCTACCTCGTTGACCATTCAGCCACATGTACTTGATCCATTAGCCCATGAGTTCCAACATCTACTATTCAATGTCATGGTTGTCGTAAGCGCCGGGATACACCAAATCAGGCAAGAGAACAGTCACTCGCTGACGACATACATAAGCTGGCGCTTGTGCTATATATTAGCAGCAGTCGGAATTCATAGACCCGTTGGATTGGGTCCCTGTGGCTGTAAATGATCTAAGAGCTCTCCGGCTCTGTGACTGGAAAGTTGTGACTGCGTACTGTTTGGAAAGTCCCACACAAGGACGGAATTGCTAGCTCTCCCTCGTTCCATGGTTTACCAATGGTTTCCTAACCGAGATGTCAGCTCATGGTAAAACTCGCAGTCAGTTACGTAATAGTCAGTACAACAATGGAGGTTGAAATTGTTATTGTCTTAGATGTTGAGTGTAGTTGGGTGTCCACTTGACAAATGTGAAAAGGATGAGAAAATGTACAAAAGGAACACGTAACGGAGTGATAATAGTGAATTCATTATTATTAAAAGTGAAGTTGAACGCAATTTAGGGAGAATAAGGGACCGGGGAAACACCTTTCTGTACTCAAATTTTGGCACCACCTCCCTGGAATACAGAAGTTGTCGAAACCTAACACGTATTATATCATTCGATCTCACTGTGTATTAATAATATTATTATTGTTCCCTTGGGTTCCCAGTGGGGCATAGAACTGACAACAGCATGTCTCCACTTTGTTCTGTTTTCTGCTGTCCTCTTCAGCTTGGCCTACGATCGCACGTGATGATATGTCATCTCCTCCTCACCATACGATCTTCTCCATGTCACCCTCGGACGAGGCACTTGTCGTTTCCCACTGGGGTTCCAGTCGAGTGGTGTCATTCGAGGGTCTCTTCAGTTGCGCGTGTCCAGTCCATCTCCATTTTCTTGTACATATTTGTTGGTGAATGGATTCTCGGTTGATCCGTTCTTTCTGGCCGGCCAGCTGGCCATTTGATCTTTAGTATGTAGCCAGCGAAGTAGGCGCCTGTTGATAAAAGTCCTCAGGAGCCTGTTAGAAATGCCTCTCGTGATGCGCTGACCAAATTTCTGACCCATATAGACGAATTGACTGACTTAACATTGGTGTTGAACAGAATCCGAATCTTTTTCTTTATGCTGGCTGTGAGTGTAGAAGATTTCCAAACTGATTTAAGAGTATTGAAAGTGTACCTTGCTTTCGCGATTCCGGCTGGTTTTGACATCACCCGTACTGTCGTCTGTGGTTGAAACGATGCTTGCTAGTTACATGAAGCAAGTAACCTTTGACGCCGTCCTACGTCAGGCACCGGATCTCGCCTAGCTAGTCCCAAATCCGGAAAAAGAGGAATGTTTGTGCGTGGGCTAGCAACCCTACACCGGAAAGCCGATCAAACTGCTACACACACAAGAGAAATTTTTAAAATACAGAATAATAAAAAAAACTCATTTTTCCCTAGAATATTGGAGGGCTGAAATAACGCGGGGTGGTGTAACCCCACCTTCGGGAAGCCAGTCAGCCAGCCGATGTCTTCTTGCAATGAAAGTAAAAATAAGAGCTGGGACGTGGAATATTCACATACAATTTACCAAGCTAGTTTCACCGTGTAGATAGTCTTGATCGACACAACACTCTTGGAGTTGCGTCGCCTGAGTTGCATAATTAATTATCTTACTTATTTCTTCTGTTTCTCTCTTTTTTTTTCGTAAAAATCAATTTTTTCTTTCTTTTAGATTCTGTCCATTTTATAAGACAGTTGGTATGATGAAAAATATTATCGCTTTTTATGATCAAGCAAGACATGCTGTTGAAGTCACCGCTCAATCTGATCGTCGTGTTACATGGGCATTAATACGTGAAGCAATGGGTCAAACTATTTACAAAGTGTCTAGTATGAAATTTAAAGATCCTAAAGCTGATGGAAAAGTAAGTCTAGCGGAGGGGGGTGGGTTTCTGTCCTTGTCTTTATTGTTTGTTCGATTATGCTGCTTTTATGAAACGTTTCATGTGTGTACCAACTTTTGTAGTACATGAATGTCATTATTATTGTCTCCTTTTGTTCCTAGAGGAACATAGGGCTTCAGCTGCACGTTTTCCACTGCGTTCGGTTCTCCACCAACGTATTCACCTGGCTTCACGTCTGCCCACATACTCCCATCTCTTCTTCACATGACCTCCTCCTCCATGTCACCGTCGCACTAACCATGAATTCGCCGCTTCCCATTGATGTTCCACTCGAGCGATGGCCTGGCATGTGATGTCCCTTGATGATGGTTTGTTTTCTCAGAGTATGACCAATCCACCTCCGTGAATATGGGGTTATTAATGGGTCGTTATGTTATGTGTCTGTGATTCAATGATGAAATGTTCTCCAGTGGTGCTACTCGTGGTCCGAGTTTCGATTCCCTCTTTCTGATGCACTTCTAAACCTCGACTAGTTTACTAGTCGATCACAAGCGTGACAGAGTGGAGGGAGGGTGTTGGGCGAGTGAAGTTATCAACCGCATTCCTTAGGAAACTGCCATTCTCTTCAAAACACAAGGAATGAAAATAGAAAAAAAGAAGAACGAAACTGCATACATTTAAACAAAAACCAATCAAAATATTTTCAAGAATTAGTTTGTAGAGGTGTATTTTTGATTTGTTTTTCAAGTATGATCACGGATTGATGTCAGTTAGAGAACCATTGAAAACGAACAGGGAGTTTTGTCCTAGTTTGGAACTCACCGCCAGGGTTTGAACCCAGGACTTTTCGGTTACGAGGGTAGCTCGTAGACCATTCAGCCACTGGAACCCAATCCAACAACCAGGTCATGAATTCCAACTTCTGCCAATCAACGATATAGCGCCACCAGTGGGTACGTACTGGCGATGAGTCACAGACTAATAAGCAACAGGTAACTGTCCAGCACTCCCTGCTTGCTTTCAATAGTTATCTAACTGATATCAATTCATCAGCAGAGCAGAGCACAAAATCTAAGTAGCACCAAGGGAAATCTAAGACAGGAAGTCAGGCATATAAGAGAAACCTTGAAACTTAATAATTACCCTGATAAATTAGTCAGGAAATATGTAGGGAAATGTAAAAATAAAATAAATAATTATAGTAGTGATAGTGATAATAATAAAAATAATATTAATGACGACATGCATGTCAAATATGCACAGGATAATGACAACGCCAACAATAAGGAATCTAAATCACCAGTAGTAATTCCATACAAAGAAGGAACCTTGGAAACCTTACGCAGAATTCTTAACAAGGTAGGAATAAAAGTGGCATTTAGACCCTCGAACTCAATTAGAAACAAGCTTTGTCGGTTAGACGATCAATCCTGTGGAGCCTTTAAAACAAAACAATTTAGTTTATCTAATACCCTGCTGGAATGATTATCAGGTCAAATGCATAGGTGAAAGTAGTACAGTGGGGTCAGTCAAACTAGCCTAGCAAAATCTAGATTGGTTAACCCAAATAAGATAAGAAATGTAGAGAATAGTCCGGCTATACCACTCACTACATGCAATTACACACAACCATAGAATAGGATGGGATAAAATGACGGTTTTAAAATCTAATGTAACAGGGTGAATGGAGGGAGAGATTGATAACGGAAGCTTTGTTTATCGAATCAACTGAGTGTGAATAGGCGTAATAGGAATGATTTAACATCACCTGTCCAGCCGGATATCTGAAAAATTCTACTACCACGTCCATGATGACAAATAGGAGAGAACTAAGAAAACTATAAAACTCAAGTTTCGAAGTTGTGTGATTATAATTGACGATATGATTATGAACAGCAATAAATTGTGTTGGAAACTTTGTCATCCGGTAAATAGTACTGTTTCACTCACTGTGTGATATATCCATCTAATAAACAAACTAATATGAAATTACTTACTACTACCACAGTGTCCAAGTTTTACACATACATCCATGGTCAAACTTTGAAACAGATGAAATCGACACCTACAGAGCAACTCTTGAAGGATATTGATTAACAGCTCACCTTCTTTCCATACTGAAGATCAGATAGCCTGTTAGACAAAGATAAGTAACAAAAACCTCTGGCACCTAACCAATTCAGTCAAGAACCGATCTCTCTACAGATATTCATTCAGAAGGAATTGCAGTTGTAGTCCTTTCTGAAGATTGAATGTATAAATATATCATTTCATACTTCTTTCTTTCTTTTCTGTTTTCTTTGAAACATTCAGGAAAAAATTCTTCGAGACTATGATGAACTACACGAAGAGATATCCGCTGGATTCAGGAATTTAGAAGATTTATAGAAAATGAAAAAGTTGAAATGATAACAGTTTTGCATGTGTGTGTTTTTGCGTCTGTTGGGGGACCATATTTCCTATTTCTACTTATTATCCCTCCTGCTGTTTCCCTCACCTTGCAGTCTGCCCTCCGACCTTCATTTTTTTAAAAATCGCATATTTATTCTTCAGTTAGTTGATTTGTGCTGTCCTCTCAGAACTATGTGACTGAGAGCGGCGGCGGTGGCAGGAGGGAGGCCGGAGGGTTTATTATGATTTATTTATTTATTGATTTGTTTATTCTCTCTAATTTTTATGATCATCCGAGGTCATCTTTAACAGTATATACTGATCTCTATGTTTGTTGGTGCCAAATCGTTTACTGGCATTCTTACTCATCACACACACACTGTGTTAAAGGATAACTGACTGACTTGTGGTGTGATATTTCAATGCATAATATGTGATTATTAATCAATTATCGGTGTATCGTATTATATTATTATTCTTATTATTATTTTTATTCTGTAAGGCTAATATTCATTCATTCATTCTTGTTGTAGTCCTCTGGTTCTTCCCGTGGCACCCCTCTCCATTCCCCCTCTTACTCCTACAACTTGCTCTCTACTCACACCCATCTGTCGGGTATTTTTGACAGTAACTAGGATAGAATGTGCATCATCATATGTGTACTTGATTATTATTATTATTATTACTCAACTAACCTTTTGTCGACACATTCCATAAAATTAGTTCTTAGCGTGCGTTTTTTTATACACTCGCGCCTTTTTCACTGGTGAAATTTATTTAAAACAAAAATTCAAATTGAGTACTGTTCACTTTGTTAGCATTCGATTTCTTTCTCATTGTTGTTGTTGTTGTCCTTCGTGTCATGTCGTGTTTGTCTTTGTGTGTGCAATTGTGTGTGTGTGTGTGTAGACATTGGCAATTACGTATATTTACGTATTTATGCATATAATTATGAAATCTAATAATTTTACTTACAGTAATTATTTAATTGATTTATTGATTGATTTACTGATCACACAATGACACACACACAAAACACACATCTAATTATAAAAGCAATACATTGATGATATTACCGATATACATTGTTTTGTATTCATTGACGGGTGGGTGGGTAGTAGGGACGTGGGCGGTGGTGTTTCAGTGGCCTTGTGGTGTTATGTTATGTCTCCTGAGTCTTCTCACACGAATAAGATTAACAATAAATCAATTGGAAAGCCATCTGGGAGTAGAAGACAGGTAGCTGTTTCGTCCCACTAGTTTTGGGACTCAGGGTTCGAACCGAGGAGCTTCTGGTTACAAGTGTTAAGCTAGCTTGTGTATTATTCAGACACTGGGACCCGATTCAATGACTGGCGCATGATTTTAGTGGGACTGTCACCAACCAATGTCATCGGCGGGAATTTTATATTCACAGCAGACTCGAGGAACCCTATTGGTCACGAATTCTCATTTAGAAATTCAGGCAACTTCGTCATGTATCCATCCAGTCACAGACAATTAATTAGTTAGCAATTTGTAATATGTACACAGTTCACGGAGGTGACATTGTTTCGCCACAGTTTCCTTTGGATGCCGAAATGATCCAGATCACACACACACGCAATATGTGACCTGTTTGATACCTCATAAATGTTAATCAAGAAAGTAAACGTAAATATGTCGGATGGGTTCAACATAAGGGGAGTCAAAAACTGGGCTACACCGATGATGAACTGGGCCATAAACGAACTAAACAGCGATCTGGTGTTTAGATCACCTCGATTCAGTTATATTATTATTATTGTTTCCTTTAGTTCGTAGAGGAACATAGGGCTTCATCCTCACGTCTCCATTGCGTTCGGTTCTGTGCCAACGTTTTCACCTGGCTCCACGTCTGCCCACATACTTTCATCTCATCTTCACATCACCTACTCCATGTCACCCCACCCTCGCATTGACCATCAACTCACCGCTTCCCATTTGGGTTCCACAAGAGTGATGGCCTGTCGTGTGATGTCACTCAGTTGGTGGTTTGTTTTCTCAGAGTATGGCCAATCCAACTCCATTTCTTCCTGCATACTTGTTGTACAGTTGGTTCCTGCTGGGTTGTTTGGTTCGTTCATTGTGAGAGATCCGTCACTACTGCTGATCTTGAGTAGTATTGAGTGAAGACAGCTGTTGATAAAGGTCTGTAGCTTGTTTGAAGTGCCCTTTGTGATGCGGCGTCAAGTCTCTGATCCGTACGTATAATAAGTAGCACTGACTTCACATTGGAGTTAAAAATCCGGATTTTATTTTCATTTCTGTGCCGACTGCTGTTCATCTCCTCCACACAAACTTGAGAGTAATGAAAGCTTGCCTTGCTTTCTCGATCCTCACATACATAGCCTCATCAGTTCCGTCCGCCTGTTGTCGAAACGATGCTTCCCAGGTAGGTAGGTAAAGGAGGTTGTTTCTCACAGTTAATCAGTAGTTTGTAGTTTTATGAGACTAAAAAGAATAAACACTTAACCTTGATTGACGGCCAGGGTGAGAACTGTCTGAACCAACTTCTTTTGGATACATAAGTTAGGCTTCTTAATGTAGATCCCAACAGCCAACCTCAGTAGTATGTAGTAGACGAACTCTCTTAAGGTGAAGTTAAGATTAGTCGGTATACTGCAGACGACTTTGAATCCCGCCTCGTTAACATCAATCTTGTGTTCTGTATCCACATGATGAGATAGAATAGCACAATGAGTGGATTTTGTATGTCCTTTACTTAACCAACCTCTGTGCAGGATGGTGTTCGGAAATCCGACGATATAAACACGCTCATGTGTTCGGCATATGTAACTGGCTTACTTCACAAGAGCAGAAGAGGCGAAATTAGGCAGTTTATCTTTAACTCCTCAACGCAAAACAGGGGTGGGTGGTTTTGAAGGCACAGTATAATTCAGCAGAAGCAGCACTGAATGTTCTTTTTACCTTTAAAAAATCGACAGTATTTAAAAACACCAATATTGTTAACGAAGACTATTCCAGAATATTCTATGTATACAAACATATATTTGTAGAGCTAGAAGAGGAAATTGTCGAAAAGGATATTCTTTGCTCAATATTTTTGTAAACATTTGAATGAATATTTTCACTATAACGATGGACACTTTAGAATTTTGATCGATTCGTTCGACACAACTGTGTTCTGGAACTGTCTGTTGGACAGTAGTGTACCTGAGAAGTTTGTGAATATCCTGAAAGCTCTATACAGAAACACTTCAGGTAAAATGAGGGCATACAACTATCATCACTGTTCCCAACCAACAGTGGTATTAGACAGGGCCATTGATGACATTCTGGAGTCAGCTCTGAAGGACGCTCGTGGTGGTGATGTAGATCTGCTCCCTGGAGATAGACGTTTTGACCTCCAGTATGCAGACGATATCGTCTCACTGTACGATAGCATGCAGGCTGCCCAAATCTCACTTAATCAGTTGGCGATCAGTGTCTGTATCTATAGACCAAAGCCTAACCTCAATATTACTCACCCTATTACACTACCACCTAAGACGGGAGTTAGAATGTAGACATCTATGATCAAAGACAGACAGCCGGCCACTTTCACTGACCATATCTGACAGCCAGCTTTGAAGGAGGACAAAGCGGACTGCTGACTAGTACACACATCATTCGATCCACATGGCGTAAGTTGGCTAATCAATACCCCAGCGAGTTGATCTCTAGACAGTAAACCTAAATAAAACTTAAGCCATTCGCTAACAAATTCAACATGATAAAAAAACCAAAGAGTTTAAAAGTGATATGCTAAACACTTATTTGCATTTGTCATTACAGAATTAATTTTCATATTTGTAACTATTTTGTTTAAACAATTTCACTTAGCATTCATTCGTTCATTCATTGTTCAATAGTCAATGGCTTAAGGATAACTACAAATTAAGCACTTCTTGTTTAAATTACATTGAAACATTCTTCATAGATGGATATATTAGACAAGTGAGTGAGTGAATGAGTGACCCAGAGAAGTTATTTAAAAACATTTATGAAGTTTTTAATTAACTTTTAACTAACTAACTAGTTAACTTAAATTTCTAATCTTCAATCACGTTCGTTTTTAGCTTACATTTCATTTTCATTCAAATCAAATTGAAATTTCTTATTATATTGAATGTTTAATTAGTGAAACACTAGTCATTTATGCATTTATTCTCTTTGATGAATTTGGATAAAGCAAGAACAACAGTGTGGTTTGTGCAGAATAAGTACATGATACCATCACTGTTTATTTCGTTGGCTTCTCATCAGCTGCTTACAGCCTAAATAAATTATTCAGGTTTATGTACAGAAAAGTTTTAAAATATTTGCAAATTATTTTCATGGTGTCAGTTGACAAAAAGTTCCGCAATAAGTGAACAGTGCTCAGAAAATTGCGCTTAAATAGTTTTTACACAGGTAGTTCAAGTTTAAACACAAAAGAGGTATGCATAGAATAGTAAAGGAGTTACGTAAGAAAGACGAGAGATGCGTTAAATGCATAGTGACTAATAAATTACTTAACAATGTACTGAGTTCAACTCAAATCATAGAAACAAGAGACAAGCAAAATTACAGATTATAAAAGGGGGTGAGTTTAAAGACAAACGTTACGCAATCAGATGAGAGAATAAAGAAATTCAGTTACCAGGGCAAGGAAATACTAATACCTGCTTCTATCTGAACACATAAATCTAGTTTCAAGCGTTTGATAGAAATTGCTTTGGCAAACTTGAGGAGAATCGAGCTCCTTTGTCTATTGATAATTTTAAAGGATTTCTCGATTTCTACCTCATGACGCCATGTCGAGGAGATGTCTAGTAATAGCGCTACTACAAGAGTTTGTTCCCTTGAGACGTAGGCTTTTCGGTACATGTTCAGAAAATCGGAGGTGTGCCCTTCTTCTTTCTGTTCTCTCAATGTAACTGCTCCTGCAGATACACGTAAATTTGTATACACAGTTGGAGTTAACATGAGAAGGGTTTCTATCGACTTTTGACTGCACCAAAGAGCACGTTTTTCGATGGACAGGAACCGACTTAGCTGCAGGAGATAGGCTCTGGCTAGTGACGTTCTCAGTCTTCTGTTGACTATTTCTGCAATGTTTTCACCTTTAAAATCTAGTTGAATGAAGACAGGCATTTTTTCAACTGTGATTTGTTTGGTATTTGAGCCTTCACATCTTCCATATTTGTTAATGAATCTTTGAGGATAACCGTTGTTTTTCAGCACCTTTCCGAGAATCGTAAATTCTTACTCTAGTTTCTCTGCAGAGCATATTCTCCTCGCTCTATAGTACAGAGTCTTGACTAGTGCCCTTTTATAGCTATTTGGACAAAAACTATTAAAATGTAGGTATTGTCCATTCCATGTAGCCTTTCGGTAAATTGACCTCTGGAGATAACCATTTACTAAAAGTATTTAAAGATAATATTAGTTGCATGCTAATGAATGATAATGTCAAACAAAGGAGTGTCCAATCAAAGTATCTAATGCAGTCAGTCCTACAGGAGGAGGTCAGTCACCAGGATGATTAGCTGCGCAGTAGTAAAGTGTTTGACTGAAACATTCAGTGACACGGGTTCAAATATCAAAAGGAGTATGAGTTCCTTCACGCCTTGTTGACTGGTGAGTGGTAACAGCAAGAATGAAATTTAGGTCAACCATGGCTTTCTGTCATGTAACGACACTTGAGAGAGCACCGTGATTGGCGAGCCATTGAGTATAATGTCGAGATTAGAAACTGGAGTGATAGAATTTCGCAAATAATTAGATACTATTCGGTGTCCAATCGAATTAATGTTAATAATGTCTGAATTTAATGTTAGTGCGTGGACTAAGAGGTACTCGCGAGGAACAAACTTGAGGGAACCAGTTAAGCTTTAGACCATAAAGAGGGTGTATTGATCATATCTCCACCCTTCTACAGATTCTGGGACAGAACGTAGGTAAACTTACCGTTGGCGTCCAACAATCGGTATATTTCTTGACCTGAAGGCGGCATTCCATTCCATCAACTAAGAGATATTATGGCAATGTTGGGCTGTGAAGGGAATGTAGACAA